TATTAAACTTCAAATGAATAGATACATGTTGTAAAGATACGTTTCGGGGCACAGCCCCTTCGTCAGAAACGAGATAAGTTCAAATCCATGTCCTTAAATACCTTTGGCCTAATCCTAATTAACATACACTAATAATATATATAGACTTGCATTAATATTCCTCCCTCAAATTTAATCCCAGTGGTACATATGTATTCAATTTTTCAATCCAAAAACTTTCCCTCTCTGTAGGTTTATTAACATCCGTGATATCAATAATCTGTGCTTTAAAATCATTAAGACCCGAATGGCCCTCCTAAAAAAAATGTTCATACAAATGTTGACCACATAAACCTCTTTGGCCCTTAGAAAATCTATTAAGCGAACTCTTGTGGTTATTAAATCTAAGACGAAATGACGTTACCGTATTGCCCACGTATTGTTTATTACATTTTCCGCAAGTAATTAAATAAACCACCCCCTGAGAGTTACAATCAAAGTGATGGTTAATGTGAAACGTGCGCTGTTATACTGTACTTTGAAAAGTATCCGCTACCACGATGGAATCACAAACCTTGCACTTTTCCCCCCCACATTTAACCATCCCTCTAGCTGCAACCTCAAGCTTATACAATTTAGCCCGAACAAGATGGTCTTTAAGGTTTTTGGATCTCCTAAAACACACCATAGGTGGCTCTGGCATGACACTTAAGAACTTGCTAGATAAGCCTACAATATTTTGCAATTCCCTAAAAATTCCATAAATTTCCCGCAATGCTGGGTGATAATCTATGATAAAGGTACTCTTATTATTTTCTCTTCCAGTTTGCTCACTTCCCCGTTTAAATAATGCCGACCGATCCAAAAACCTTACCCTCTTAAACTGACTCTCTACAAATTCGCTATTATAGCCCCTTTTAACCAGAAACCCTTTCAATTCCTGAAGCCTACTCTCAAAAACCTTATCTGAATGGCAAATCCGCTTAAGACGCAATGCCTGTCCATAGGGAATTCCCCTCTTAACATGTGGAGGATGGCAGGACTTAAAATTTAAATACTGATGTGCATCAGTGGGTTTACTATACACGTCAGTACAAAAAAACCCATTATCCAATCCTACCGACACGTCAAGAACAGAAATCCTATGATAACTTATATCCCATGTATACTTGATATTTTCGTGAAAAGAATTCAAACGAAGCAAATATATATATATATATATATATATATATATATATATATATATATATATATATATATATATATATATATATATATACATACGGGGCACAGCCCCTTCGTCAGAAGCAAGATAAGTTCAAATTCATGTCCTTAAAAATTGAATACATATGTACCACTGGGATTAAATTTGAGGGAGGAATATTAATGCAAGTCTATATATTATTAGTGTATGTTAATTAGGATTGGGCCGAAAGTATTTAAGGACATGGATTTGAACTTATTTTGTTTCTGACGAAGGGGCTGTGCCCCGAAACGTATTTATGTATATTTCTAACTTGAAGAATATATATATATATATATATATATATATATATATATATATATATATATATATATATATATATATATATATATATATATATATATATATATAAATATATATATAGATAAAGATAAAATAAACCTGGTTTACTTCATAAGATTTATAACTACAAACTTGTTTCGTATATACATATATATATATATATATATATATATATATATATATATATATATATATATATATATATATATATATAATTACTATTCTTACTTAAAATGTTTTTTTGTCTCTACTCCGAGTTTCACGCATCACTGCGATCATCAGGAGACATTGTTCTCAAATACCGTTTGCTTTTCGTTGTTTGATGGCGTGACTGCGCGCGCGCGCGAGGATTGTTGATGTTGCTTACACGCGCGCAGACTTCATTTCCCGCTAAAAATTGTTTCTGATGCACGCACTTCGAGAAGATTTCCGATCTTTTGTTGAGTAGATTTTTGTCGCGAGATTTTAAAATCAGCAGCTTCTCTTGCAAGCATAGGTTGCATCTGGGTCTTCCGCTTGTGTATGGGACAGCCTTCTTCAGAATGGACCAAGTGGTGTTGTAAGGTCTTCCGCTTCTCTTCAATTTCCAAATATGCTTCGATAGCTCCGTTTCGTTCGCATATCTCTGAAACTGGAATGATTTTTTATGGTTTCTGTACCTGTCTTTGAATTCCCCAGCTGTTACCCCAATATACCGCTTCGTTTCACCGTTGTCGTGACTCTTTACTTCGGCTTGGTACACGATAGCTTGGGTCAGACATTTCTTCTGGAGGGGGCATTCATCTTTCTTGCGGCAGTTACAGTTAATTTCTTCTGTTCCGTGGGTTCGGTCGATCTAATTCTCGTGTTGTGGTTAGAAATGGTTGTCTTGACATTCTTCATGCAGCTGTAACTAATTTTGGTTGAATTGCGGTTAAAGATCTTATGTAGACGACTTGATTTAGGGAAATGTTTGTCGATAAGTTGAAGAAAGGTTTTACCAATGTTTGTTGCTACGTTTTTGCTGTAAGGTGGGTTAAACCATAGTATGTTTCTGTGTCTTTTGCGTTTGGGTTGGCTGGACGTACAACTCTCAGTGTTGGTGTCGTCAATATTACTTGAAGGCGTGGCATTGTATTGTAAATTAAAATCATAATTACTACGACGTAATGCATTCTCGTTTTATATGTATATACATATATATATATACATATATATATACATATATATATATACATACATATATATATATATATATATATATATATATATATATATATATATATATATATATATATATATATATATATATATATATATATATATATATAATTTTGTTATTGTATTTGCCCTTGGAAGCTGAGCTTGCTCTTTACATTTTGTTTATAGAAAAATATGTGTGCACTGCCCAACGATCTCAAAGATTTCTATATGACAACTGATGGTATTTCAATCCAATGGTCTATTGAATTTGATGGTTAGGAAAATTGTTTTAAAATTACGGGAACCACTGAGTATTTTGATAAAATACAAAACAATAGATACTCCGAAAATTGAAAGCATTTTGAAAAATTTATTTCAAAATGAAATAAATTATTCAAAATGCTTACCCTTAAAAAAAAAAAATGCTTACCCTTTTTAAATTGCTTACCCTTTTTTATTTTTTATTTATTTTGAAATAAATTTTTCAAAATGCTTTCAATTTTCGGAGTATCTATTGTTTTGTATTTGAGGAAAATTGTTTTAATTAGCAATGTTAATTAGTGTCCTAAGTCTAAGGAAATCATTTCTGACAATATTAGAATTACTGTCATTTGGTCAATTAGCTGAAGAAATTAAGCTAACTCACTGTAGTTCAGTATACTTTATGATATTGTCAAAAGGATACGGGTATCTAAAATACAAAAGGATATACAAACCATTGTTTATTATATACAGGTGGAACATTGCCTATTGGTAATATGGAAATCAATTCAATATCAAGTGTTACTCCTATAAATCAATCAATTGTTGTTTCTGATGATAAACCGACATTGTTAGATATTGATGATTTATCCGACGAGGAAGATTTAAGAGGTACACATAGAGAGAGATAATTTGTTATTTATATATATACACCCTATCACAAAGTTTTGTCAGGTTTTTGTCACAATCTGAGAATATGGAATTAACCAAATCATACCTAATTAAAGAATGTGGTTGCTAGGACGAGGGTGTATTATGTCAAGATGCATTTGGAAATTTTAATTTCTTATGTTTTCAAGGCAATGTGAAGCCACACTTTGACGAAAAAAATAAATGTTTTGAGTTGGACTCCTGTCTTGGTTTTGCCAAAGTTTGTTTGGTTTATAAAGACATTGCATCAGGTATAGTGGTGGTGTTTTATATAATATTTGCAGCTCTATCATTTGTGAATAGACTATCATTAGCTTGGCCTGCTTGGGTGTGGTCAAATGTTATTCCACTAAATTCTAGATCACCTGTGATTGTTGCCACAATGGTGGCTGTTTTGTAGTGGGGAGCAATAGAGGTGGACCACAAGTTGATGTACAGTAGGATGATGACAGCATATGGTATAATTCAAGACTTTGGTAATGTAATTTTTTTCTTCTTTTTGACAGTTGGTGTTACCGATTCCAGCCCTGAAATCTGGCTGCTAGATCGTTCATTGCGATGGGCATATCTGGCGTCGTCATTTCAAAATTATTTCCGTATGTTGATTGTTCATCTTGGGTTACCTCTATGGCAGTATCGCTTTACTCAGGTTGGACTAAGTCCTGAGACCAAGGTACTGTAAGATTTTTGAGTAATTTATAAATTAGCCGAGGCTAGTTCGCTGTATTCACAATCCAAAACTTAGGATAGATGATTCCAATGGCGAAGCTAACCATAGCAACTGATAATGCTATGCAAATTTTTAGTGCAAATTTATTATTACATAGCATACTGTAGCATGATAGCAGGACCAGTTGCCGTGGCTAGCTTTGCCATTGATCATGACTCTATTGATCATTGATGCATTCGAGCCTATTTATATGGAAGCTGGCCTAGCAATTTTGTCGCTTTTCAGAAGTAAACAGTTCCAAGTCTTTTGAATGCTTTCATTCGATCACATTTTCCAGGAGGAGAAAAATCGCCGACAGAATTGCTAGACGTGTGAGCCAGCCTTAAGGTGGCTCCATACACTTTTCATCATTGGGGGACTGGTACCTAATCTTCAGTTCTCGCGCGAAAATGTTAAAAATATATGCAAAAATAAATACAACTTTTTCGGTATATTAAATCCGAACTACAAGTCATGTTTATTTTGATGTTTTGAGTCTTCCTTGTTCTCATTTGTTCTCAAAGAACAAACTTCGTCCTGATTTAGCTCTGAACATTGAATAACTAGTCTTTTTAGAAGACATTTTAAGGTAAAAAAATGCAATGTTCAACTTTCAAACTCTTGTGAAAACTGGCGATCGGCCCCGGACCGGCGAAAAGTTTTTACTCCAATATTTGGCGATTTATAAGTTCATATCCAGAGTTTTTTTGTACTTACAACTGGTAAATGTATTCAAAGTGTTACTAACAGCAAAGGAATTCAGTGAAACAGCATCGTGCGCCGGTTCAAACTGTTTTAACTTGTCAACAACAACATGAAAACACACAAGTTACGACTGAAAACGAATATAAAACTATGTAGAAAAGCCAAAAAGTTCATATACATGTCACACATATCTTATACCAAACGACCGACAATCACCTGTTTTCTTGGCGTTATCCCGAGTTAGCATGAAAAACCAAATATATTTGCATTTCTAAGCAAGAAAACACAATATATATTTGATATTTCGACGAGACTAAAAACTTTTTTGTGCGTGTTTTTCTGGAGATGCGCCTGCGAAAACATGTACGCGCATGTCAATTCATTGATCTTGCAGAGTGTGAAAAACTTTGGCCGCGCGGAATAAAACCGTGATTATTTCCAAAACGAGTTCGGTAAGGTACCCTGAAAATTTGTACATGAGTAGATACATGCTTCAAGATTTCATGATGGAAAAATAAAAAAAAATTGTCGAAATTTAATTCTAAAGAATTGAGTCGACAGATTTTTTTTAAACTTCCCAGAAATGTTTCTCGACACTAACGTAACTGATTTATTAAAAAAAAAGTTGGGGTCACCGAACTCATTTTTTAAAAAAACTCGAAAAACTGCGATATTTTCGGCTATTTAGTGTTGCCAGTATTCGTTATAGTTGTCATGGAAACGCGACTTTTATCAGAATTCTTCTTGTCTGTGACACGTCTTACTATGTGTTACAATTATAAGTAAAACTTAACCCTGTAAAAGCATTTAAACAGAAAATATTCAACTTTTGCTCCTTTGGCTAAAAAGTGTATTGAGCCACTTTAAGCGACATGAATGTGTCTTGTGTTTATACAGTATCAATATTAATAATCCTGCTTTTTAATAGTTTTTAAAGTGCTTTTATTTTTAGCAATGGTTTAACTTATACGCCCCGAGCAGAGTTGACGAATGTGTGGAAGAACACGAAAACAATACGAGTGAAGAAAACACTAATACCAAACAAGAAGAACACTTGAATCAACTTGATACAAACCGCGTGTTCAAAGGAAAGTCAGATACGATGAAAACACAAACCAAACAAGGGAAGAAAAAGCAAGCAAGTAATGCAAGGACAAATACTTCCACAAGATTTCAAGGAACATCTGGCGCTAAGACTCATCGATAGCACTTCAGTTCAGGTATACTTGATTTATACTTATAATTCACCGGAATTATATTTATAATTCTCTGTAAATTGAATCGCTGGTTACCAGGCTAGACCAACATCAAAATTGTACAGTAATGCTTACATGTTCTTTTAGGAAATTTTGTCACCAAAATATAATTAAGGAACAGTTACTATTTTTAGACTTTAAGGATTAGGGATTGGATTAGGGTTAGGATTAAGATTAGGGTTAGGATTAGAGTACGAGTAAGGCTATAGTATAGGGTTAGGATTAGGGATAAGTTTAAAATACAAAAGAATACAAAAGAATACAAAATTACAAAAGTCTAAATATAGTAACTCTTCCTAAAACGTCACAAGAAAAATTCAGCTAGCTACTGTAGCAAATTAGCAATAGGCAAATTTGGCCAACGTTGTTTACATCGTCACGCAGTTCACAACATTAGATAACTCACATGCCTAGTTATTATTGTTCTAGTTTACAGAGACAAAGAATACTAATAAGCATTAGAGTTATGTATAAGATGTACAGTAGATAATTGTAAAGCTTTAGTTCCTGTACTACTTGCTTTATTTCACAAAACCAATTCATTCATGCATGATTGTAATTTTTACTCAGATAATGTTCTTTCAAAACTAGTGGATTTAAAATGTTATAAAGTAAATTTAAAAATCTTCAATTTTTATTTAAAGTGCGAAAAGTTCACAACTGGAAATTAATGCTTTTCGCACGAGGCTTCGAAAACGAAAACTTTTGTTGGGGAGCTTGCCCCTCAATTAATCCCCCAATTACAAATTGTTTCTGCTGGCAGTGTGCTATGATTTTTCAACAATGTTGATTGTGGAATAGGATTTATAAGATCTGATTCGAGTTTTTAGAATACCTTTTTACTTGTAGCCCCCTTGATCACCAAACAGCTTCTTGATCATCGCATTGTGTGGATTGACGTCCCCCAAGAAATGGGGTGCTTCTGTTTCCATTGTTTTAACCAATACTGTAGCTGCGAGCGCCAAAGCATTTTGATCGGGATGGAAGCCGTCGACCGGTTCAATAAGCTGCCATGTTTCATGCCCCTCGCCCATGTCGTTCCAAATTTTTATCGCTTTTTCAATAAAGTTTGTGATGAAAGCCAAATCGAAGTTTTTGTACTTTTGGGTTTTTGCAATATCTTGAAGAACGCCGCTCAGCGCGGTTGCGCGTTTCGTCGTGGCGTTGCGCACGCTTGCGTTTGTATTCAACCAACCGGCGCACGGGGAAATTTGAAGGCAGTTCAGGAAATCGTACAGTTGGGCGTAGGTGACGTCCTTGCGTAACATTCCAATGGGATGGATGCGGTTATGCATTGCGTCGAACAATACTCTACCATCAGCCAAACCAATCATCGCAACATGGCTACCGTTAGGGAGGATGTTGTCCAAACTCGCGAGAGTTTTCAAAGCGTTTGCTCTCATTTCTTCAACGGTTGTCATATTTCCACCGTGTGGATTGCTGTTGCAGACGTCGTTGCCGACTAGAGAGTAGAACAGGAGCACTGGTCTATCCGTTTTGTTATTCCGTGCTAGAGCTTCGACAAGGACATCGTTCATTGTGAATGAGTCCGCCCCATTTTTACCGATATTTTGATAATCTCTGTGATTGCAAAGATTGCGTTCCACGATGTGTTTGTAAATCGAGTCTACCGGTCCAGAGATAATTTGCGGCCAATCCGATTTGTTGTAAAAACCAGTGAAGCCCGACATCATCGGCCAGTCAAATTCGTTGGTTAAAACGAACCACAGGTCCTTAAAAATATGTTCGGTAATTTCTGTTGCGGTCAGCCACTCGGGAGGGATTCTGAAGTGAGCGGTTACCGAGTCCCCCAACGCGATTGTCCCCTGGGGGGAACTCTTCCCGCATAATAAATCTTCCCATGTACGTAATTTTGGCAGATTGAACCCATGTATCCCATTGCAATTCGAATCAAATAGTACATCGTCTTCTATTGGTTTCCTCCCCGGATAGTGCGTGCTAAAAAAGTCGTTGCAATCCTTTCCACGCCACGCAAAACCTCGCAGGGACTCGAACGAGCTAAACCGATCGCCATCCACGTCTAGTATCGGTTTATCCTTGCCAAATACGTATTCGACCGTCTGACAGATTTTCTTAATACCAGGAAGAGAACAAATGTCAAAGCCCAGCTTACCGTACCTTTCGGCTTCCTCAAATAAGAGAAACGGCAGCTTCTCATAGGCAAATCGTTTGGCTCGTGCGGTGGTCTTGGTAGAATCTTGGTCACGTTTAGGATACGCTCTGCATTCCGGTTGACCTTTCTCGGTATAGCATTGTTTGATCTTTTGACAAATAACATCGGGAGATGAATGTTGATACGGTTTGACCATCGGTAGGAATACTTTCCCAAGTATAAAACAGCCATCGGATAAAGGTGGCGGAAAGTAGGAACAAAGTTTGTGAAACGATTCGACAAAACTCATGTTGTGGTACTCAGCTAGCTGTTGATTCACGCTAACGATCGCGGTACAGCCCAGACAAAATACACCGCCATTTACTCCTTTCGGTATAGCTTCCGAGCGAGAGATTAAAACTGAAGCCCATACAATGTAGAATAGAAACCTTGCTTTGAATTTGAAGGACATTTTGTAGACTTGACTGGTCATACAAGTGTCACGAAAGAAATATATGTTTACAAGTGAAGTGGCTAATGTTTAATTTGGAATCATGTGCCTGTGGATTAGGTTTCAAAATCCGATTTCAAAATAGTCACAATGATGTCAACATGTGTTGCATAATGGTCTTGCAATTTCGATTTCAGTTCTTGTTTTCATATTATAGGGCAGGTTTATAAGAATACTGTATAATACAAATACAAATATATTATTGGCAGGAGACCAAGTGGGTTGAAATAATTTAAGGCTTGAGCAGGTACGTAGCGCGGTGTGTGTGGGGGGAGGGGAAGGGGGTGTGGTTGAAAGGTAAAACAAAAAGGAAAATTCCGAAATATTTTATTTTGTTACAGATTTTTCATATCAAGCTTAACTTGTAATATTTTGACTGAAATAAATGAGCTGCCCGCCGTCTTGAATAAATTCTTATCGCTTTGATGACGTCAAGAGTCGGGTTAGCTATATGAAATCACTTCTAAGTTACTGAGTAACAGTCAAAAGTTGTTTTTTTAATGTTTTTATTCAATTTGAAATACCAAACAAAAACGAGTTCGGGTTCGTTGATATTGATCGCTGGCAGCTCACTGGTCGTCTGGTCCCCAGTTGTGACGTAAATGCATATCATCAATAATCCGAGATGGCGGACATCTTATTGATTTCAGTGAAAATATTTCAAGAATCAAGCAAGATATAAAAAATATGTGACAATAAATGTATTTTATAGATAATTTTAAACATTCTTTTAAATGTGACAATAAATCTTTTTGTTGCCATTGTCCTTTAAAACTGATGCGGTACACTCCGTCTAGTCAGCTTCGTTTGCATCTTTGTTTCCAAATAATGAACTTTATAAAACTAAGTGGCGACAACTATATATATTTTCCTGCTTCTAGAGCTAAAGTAGTATTAATACAATATCAAAATAACATGATTTTGCACGATTAATTGGGCTTTGCAGTAACAATGTCATCATCACGCATGCGCAGAACGCACAGCACCGCAATTTTATATATTTACTTATTTATTTATTTATATATAGAATAGTTAAACGAGGTATTCAATTACAGCTCGAACAGGCAAACCGAGGCCGCTTTTGCGTATTTTTAATGTTTTCAAACTAAGCCAAAACATTGCACCAGCGGATTTATATTTAGACCTATGGCTATGTCATATAAAGTTCATAACATGAAAATGTTTCGTCAAAATAAACCGCTGGTGATTGGTTTTGGCTTAGTTTGAAAACATCAAAAATATGCAAAAGGGGCCTCGGTTTGCCCGTTCGAGCAGTAACGAAATAAATAGTGAAGAAATTATCTGAATCTAGTTTAATATCCGCAAGAGTGATCGCATCCCACAAGCGTTAGGTGGGGATACTTCAACGTACATAAATACGAATTTTAAGAAGTAATGTATGAGGTCCGATTGGGGAGGGTTATCCAATATGAATTTCCTACCCCTCCCCAAACCCTTGACCTCTTCAATACTTTTTCTTGAAACCGTATTTAATTTTCCGCCTTTTGGAAAGAATCGCAGTGTCACACGACACACGTTTTTCCCAATGTTTTATATGTACTCGTCATAGGGCCTCGTACACACGTAAAAACGTACTGCTTGTTCCTAGCTTGTTGATAAGTTGTAAACTGCTTGTTCACCGCATGCTTGGGCCATGGCATGGCCCGCATGGGCATGGTTGATGTTTGACGGAAAACGCTTGTGCTTATAGCCCTTATAACTTTCACAGACATGTGTTCACAGACTTTACACACATGTTAATATGTTATCATGTATTAATTGTTTAATTTTAAATAATATTTAATTATTAATAACTGTAAATAATTAATAATATACAAAATCCTTCATTAGGAGTTTCGAAAATGTGTTATTTCCAGAAGATGGGAGTTATATTTTCTAAAGTCAAACAGAACAGTGGGCAAAATTTAACCGAAGCCGATGTTTCCACAATCGACCCACATAAACTTTCTCAATTCAGCTTGAGAGCATGTTCGCAGGCTAACATAAATTGCCTTGTAGGTGCCCATACTTCATGTCTCCATAGGCATAGGCATAGTATAGTAAAAACGCCAGTATACATCATAACATTTATACACAAAGTAGGAATGGGTTCTAAGTTTGTTGGCAATGATTAGAGCAGCGTTCCACCATTTAAATAATACAATACAGCTGTAATACACCGACAGGCAACACGGTCAAATTTGGCGAATTGTATCCCATTCGTGCGAGTTCGTATTGACTGTCAGCGGACATCTACCCAAAAATTGGGTTATGAATGCAGAAGAGGTTATTTCGCTGGCCTCAGAGTGACAAAACGTAACAAAGCAACGGTTTTACTGACACTAACCCAGTAACCCTATTCCATACACCAACTCTAACCATAATCCTAACCTAACCTAACCCTACTCCAAGTTTGTTTCTAAACCAATCTTGAAGAGAATATTTTTGACGAAATGTCATTCTGAGGGCAGCGAAATAACTTCTTCCTATGAATGCTGACCCCACAGCTGACCCTACTAATCCTTAGCCACACTGAGTCCTGCATCCTAACCGCTGACCCTAACTCATAAGAGACATCACAGACATGATGAATCTATAGCCAACCAGCCACCCGTTCCGCACGTTGTAACCAATAATCTATTGGCGTTGTAATGCCTTGACGGGATTAGATGTTAGGGGCGGGGTTGGAGTGGGGGTCAGGGATCCGCATTGATACATTATAATAGGGCTTACACGAAGTATATATTTTCATCGGATCGAGTCCGCCGGAAAATGAGCCTGCTGTACTGGGAGAAAACTTGCTGAATATGACCAGCGTGAAAGAAGCCAAGTTTGAAATCATTTTTACCATAACGTAATATGTGTAGAATCGTTTATGATTTGTTTTTAAAGTTACTGTATCAACAGCACCATCATAATTACGTATACTTGTAGTCTCCAAGATTACAGTTAAGTCATGCATTAAGTCGTGCAACATGCACAACTGTAATCCTGACTACATAAAATGTAAAAATTACTTACAGATGTTCATGAAGTTCCATTCCCAAAACGTTCCAAGATAGTTTTCGGGATAAGCATAAAATTAGCTTCTCTTCACCAGTTACAAACGTTTTCTAAACCTAGTTCAAATTTCGGTGATACATTTGAAGCTTGGATGATGCAGCTTAAAAAGATGTAACTTCACATATTTCTTGTAATGAATGAGTTATAGAATTTTTAAACACGAGATAATGAGACTTGAGCAGCCATATTGGCATGATCTCATTAGTTATTCACTGCCAAATTTATTAGAGCCCCCCTAACGTGTCAGCAACACCATAATAGATATGTGTTAAAACAATATGGCCGCCATTGATATATGCTGGAGGCACGATCCAGTCGTAGGTTTGACATCAGTGGTTATATTGTACTTCCATATCCAATCACAATGCTCGGCCACAATGGCTCACATGGTCACTTTACTTTGCAATTTCCGGGCGTGCTCCAAACCGAGTTCGAGTTGATCATTTTAATTACACATCTTTGATGTGACATTCTCGACAATACTCGGACATTGTTTCTGCATCTGCCCATTCGAGGGAGAAAATTCGCCTGTTGATAATTACAACGACGATAAAGGCATGTGGTTTGGTTGTTTTGATACACAATATATATGCATGGGCTTTCATATAGTAAGAAAACAAAACTGACTTAAGTTTCAATTAATTGTATATGGAACCAAAAATGTGGAGCACTTTTGGAAATCTACAAATACAAATACAATTACCTGCCTTGCCCATCGCATACGTGCAAAAAACAGCAATTTTTAACTTCCCCCTGTTCAATGTTGACAGCTTATAAATTGGTTATAGGTTAATGCTTTGTGAAATGCATGTCAAAACTAACATTGTAGGGGGAACGGGCCGGCGAAACAAAGACGCCAACATGTGTATGTGAACACTGATACTTTAGTTTACACCTAAGTGTCCAAGGAATTTTTGCCATGTCTGTAGCAGATAAATTAATGTAACAAATAAAAAGTTGTAAAAAGGCACTTGATATCAGAGCAGCAGTGAAACATTTGTTATTTCATAAAAACATTAACAGCACCCAAAATTATCCCAAGCTGTAACTAATACCACCACTGGATTATAAATAATTATCTCAAATTATCAGTGAAATATCATGTATAATTACTCTTTAACCAATCAATTTTAAATTAATTAGATTACTTGTTTTTAGTCATGCTTTCTATGGAATCTCTTCCACTTTCTTATAGTTATAATATTTTGAATTAGAGTATTCAACAAAACTTGGAATTTTTCTGTGCACTCTCCCAGCCCCCTTTTGCCCCCACCTTCCTATAAATAATGAACCCTCCCTTTAATCCCTTTTCCACTGACAAATTCTTAATTATTCAACACCCAACACTTTCAATTAATTGTGGAAGCATAATTTAATAGAATTTAATAACAACTATAAATCATTATCATCAGTATAACTTTCGCATATTTGATATTGTGCTTCAAACAACAATTTCAATGTTCTTTGCTAAATAAAAAATATCGAACTTCAAAAGTTTTGTTCATGCACATCTCTGTTGGATGGCATGGTTTCTTTTACAGGCTTTCGTTGCCTTAAAGAATTCATTTGACCCATGGCCGTCTGTTCTTGCATGATGATTCTTCCATTGGATGTGGTACTGGTATTTGGTAGTGGATGGTGATTCCCATTTGGCTCTGGTATTGCTGGTATTTCCTGTGCACCAGGCATTTGAATTGGAGCTTCAGGTTCCCTTCTGTTATCCCCTTCCAAACCACACAGCCAGCCTTTTACCCTATTCCAAAGGTCTGGCATTTTGTTCAAAGCCTGGAAAAAAGAAACAGTTAATTTTTGGTATTTACAGGGTATTGAAATGAAAATCTTTCACTATGAGCTTTCACAAATATAAAAAAAAATATGTGTTCATCTTTGTCCAGTTTGTTTTGTTTATAAAATCACTTCTGTGAAAAATACACAATCCTTCTCCATTATCATAACATGTATAAATCTAAACTTTGGTTACAAGTCTTATAGAAAAGAAAAACAGAATATGCATGCAGTTTCAGTTTAACCCAAGCCAAGTGTATGCTACACTGGGGAAAAAATGTGAAATCCATACTATGAAATTTGAAATTGCACCACTAAATCCATAGTAGCTATATCCATAATACTATATCCATAGTATGGAAATATACAATTATTATGGACAATCAAAATCATTCTATTTCCAGTAAAAGTCCATACAATTTCCATTCTATGACCTTCTATGGATTTTCAAACTTTTTTCCAGTGCTATACTGTACAGAAGGTTCTCTCCACCATACAGGCAAAGGCTTTGATCATCTATGTCCAACGTATTTATATTTGTTTTCTTATAAACCCCGCGCCTTATAGCATGCATCAATCTAAACTTTGCTTGCAGAAGCAAAATATGCACACAGGTTCCTTTTACATGAAAACTGCCTGTTTAGTTTAAGTTTAATTTCCATTCTATGACCTTCTATGGATTTTCAAACTTTTTTTCAGTGCTATACTGTACAGAAGGTTCTCTCCACCATACAGGCAAAGGCTTTGATCATCTATGTCCAACGTATTTATATTTGTTTTCTTATAACCCCCCGCGCCTTATAGCATGCATCAATCTAAACTTTGCTTGCAGAAGCAAAATATACACATAGGTTCCTTTTACATGAAAACTGCCTGTTTAGTTTAAGTTTAATCTAAGGCAAATGTATATACAACATTGTGCAGAAGGTGAAACTTCGTACGTTTTCATATGCGTTAGCGATTTAAAAGCGTTAAATTTGAACAAAGTGGCTGGGGGTTGATGATACACCTTAAAGTTATATAACATGGTATGTAAAACATATTTTAATCTAATTTCTATATAATTCCATCCTTGCAACTAAAGCAAAACTCACCAAAATTTTGTTAAAGTCGTTGCCACATAAGAAGAATAAAGAAGGATGCCAGTACGCTTTGCATTATGGTACATCTTTTGAGTCACATGACAACTTTGCAACAACTGTATTGCATCATACGCGTGACCTAAAATATAGAATAAACTTAAGTTGATTTTTTTAGTTTCTCAGTGCGCTTTCCATTAACACGATCAGACTGTTAGATCGGTCAAATTTGTAAAGAGAGTGGAAAATCGATGAAGATCCATTTCAGCAGACTTCCGGGAAACCTGACCAAAATCTTTTAATGAACACTGAGACAATATTTCTTGTCGAACCGTTGGCTCGTCTTGTAAATGGAAAGCGCCCTTGTATGTATTTTGAAACTTTATTGCAGTTTAAAAACATTATAGTGGAAGTAATATATAAATTCAAACGAAGAATGTGAATTCAAACGACCAGGAATACACATGGATGAATACTCAATCGTTCAAGGTTGTAAGTAGATTTTTGGCTGATTCTCGTTACTGTAAAATATAGATTGTAAAATATTGATCGAAAAAAGATCGAATCGTCAAATTATTAGGCTAAGGTAAACCTACTAAAATATATGTATACTTCAAAACCTAATGAATGCTTGCTATATAACCCATAGATTTCTATTTGGCTCTCATGTGCGAAACGAACGCTTATGGACACCATGTATGTAGAGTCTCCTCATGTGTTGCAATTGCATGAATAGCAAGTATATAACGTCTTAAATATAACTCGTCAATCCGCCCTAATCTAAATCAAGACTACTGTCTTAAAAGATACGGATACGACAGTATATATAACGGATTTTCCACTATGAATGTGTATCTATGATAATGCTTTGGGAAAAAGAAGGATTTGGGAATGTATTTTACGTTATTTCTTTAAGACAAATAAAAAATAATTGCGTTGTATAAAAGCAATTATTTCAAACCCAATTGGATGCAGTAAAACATATTTTCCCGAGCAAAATCCAAACTATTTCGTTTGATTTTCCACGAACGTTTTGAGAGTTTATAGAGGTATAACTTAATTGTTTTCTTACGGACATCGAAGTTTCAATTACCTGCATGAAATGTTAATTTGCTTTTGAGGCGTCAAAATTACTTGTCTTTCATTTGAATTCTTAAAATGTTTGAAAACAGTTTGCTATGGCGAGAAATAATCGCACAGAATTTTTACCATTTATCCATCTGTACATGTGTTATAGAGGCTCCATAGAGACCAACCATTCCTTTTTTTTATTCGATATAAGAGCCATCCTCTACCATTTGTCATGAATATCGTAAAATATTTCGTTAGCAATTGATATTTGCTAATATCTCTCATACCTTCCGTATGATTCCTTGTATATATTATTGTTCGCCTTTGGCGTTTTTTAACCAACGAATTATATTGTTTTGCCTCCTATGCACTCAATCCCACTCGTGCGAAAAATGCATGAAACCATTGACCAAAGGAAAGTCGCACAAACTTAAATAATATCAACAGTTAATATTTTTTGTAGCATTTCAAGTCGCATTTCAATTAATATCCGCACAAATTATACTTTTTCCAAAAGAGGACAATCAATCGTCGTTATTTTGTCATTTGACATAGATCATATGCACTCATTGGTGGGATTATGATTTTAACTGACGCAGTTGTGCACAACTGTATAAAATTCAGCTGTTCAATAATTTTGTAATTTTGCATATGCAAATTAAAGCAAAACATGACTCTATATGAGTTCGCAGCGAGAATCGAACCCACGATTTCAGAGGCGAAAGGCGCTTGCTTGACATTGCGCAACCGAAGCCCTAGATATATAGACAGCCCTTCCACAGTTTTATTGTATTTCATTGTTACAACTAACCAGGGACGTGCTGAGCGATATATCGTTGGGGGGAGTGAACTCAAAAGTTTGTGCCCCTCTTCCTTTCGCCCCCCCCCCCTAAAAAAGTTTCCGAACCCTTTTTTTATTAGAGGGCGTTAAAAATACGCGTTTCAGAACTTTTTCGACCTCAAATTTTCACAAAATTCCTTAATATTTAACACGTTCCGCAATTCCAGCATTTGAGGGCACCTCTGGGGAAATTGAACCCCTTTCCTTGACTTTTCTTTGGGGGTGTTACACCACACCACCCCCAGACTTAATTTGGCCTCTCTTGGGGTTTTGCGATCCCTATGAGCAAACTATGTTTCGATCAGATCTAATCCACTAACAACGATGTCTGAATTCTTTCACTAGTTCAGATTGTGTGTTATGGTTTAGAAAGCTCACTCCAATATCCTTGCACAGTATACGTCTGTGATATGTTTTGCTTTAATTTGAATAACATTTTTCATAATTATTGAACTTCCGAATAGATGATGGTTTTTATATCGCGGATGAAAAAAAAAGATGGTTCATGGTCTCTTGTATGAAGCTTCCATAATATTACGAAAGTCACCGAACTGTGGAATCGCATAAAAAATTCGTATATCGACCACTCCCACAAACGTCTACGACCGCGCCTACATAGTTTTGCATGTTTACAATTCTAATTTTAAACAGCCAATTACCAAGAACCTGATTGGCTGTTTAAAATTAGAATTGTAAACATGCAAAACTATGTAGGAGCGGTCGTAGACGTTTGTGGGAGTGGTCGATATACGAATTTTTGATGCGACTCCACAGTTCGGTGACTTTCGTAATACATGTTCAATCGGAATCCGGGTGGTTTTTGCTATTCACATGAAACGTCGACGAGTGATTTTCACACTTCAAAAATGAACTCTTCCATGCATATATTTGAAACTTTGATTTATTCCAAAACATCAGTCACTAAATCATCCGTGGAAAAGCCAAACGAAACAATCATATTATATTTGGGAAAAATTGGGTTTTGCTGCAAGGCGTGCAGGTGCTTTCCTCCCACAGGAATGTTTATATAGGGTTGTTAGGACTAGTCCCTAACTGACGTACCCTTTCACCATATGGCCGTGCTTTGTGATCAGACTAAAATTCCTGGTTATTTTATCTCACTTCCTACCATAGTTTGGTTAATTAATGTAACCAGGAATCTGGTTATATTAATTTGACCATGACGTTCTTGTTAAAGTGGCACTGTCATTAAAATTTTTATTTTCTTAAACGAAAATGTTCTTAAAATTTTGTAGTAACTTCTTTTGAAGATTTTTATTCCCATGCTTAGTTCTTACGATATTTCAATTTGTTTGTAACCATGTGACGTCATTTACTCAATTACATATATAATGAGATATCAGTAATTGTTGTGTATCTTTGCTATTTTTTATCAAAATCTTTCCAAAGATGCGGCGCGTTTGTTAATTTAACCTACAATACTGTTTTTTTTTTAAAATTCCGTCAAAAATAGCAACGATATACAACATTTACAACATCCCATTATATATGTATTACAGTATATATGTAATTGCGTAAATAACGTCACATGGTTTCAAACAAAATGAAATTTCTCAAGAACAAACCATGGGAACCATTTTTTTCAAAAGAAGTTACTTTACAGTTTTAGAATGACAGTGCCACTTTAAAATAACCAGACTGTGCTTGTTGGATGGATAAATACAACCAGGGGCGCCTTGTTATTTATATCCGCCTAAAATAGTCTTGTTAATTTAACCAGGAAATCCTGGTCAAATTAACTGGGGCCGCGGTTGTTCAAAAGTCGGTTAGCTTAATCCTATAGGTTAAGAAATCTGCAAAGCAATCTTCCCAACAGTTTGTTTTTAAAAATGGAAGTATTCAACCAAAGGTTTCAAAAAAAATATCAACAAAAGGTTTATTTTCTAACGTTTTGAAATAAAAGGTTGTGCAAAAATACACAAACCGAAATAGTGGGTTAGCTCTAATCCAGCTTTGAAAAACCGGCCCCTGGATTATAGTAGGGAAAAGGTTATAATAACCAGGAAATTTAACTGGGAATGCAAGTTTGTCATTTGCTAAGTATATATGTTGAACAACATGATTCCAGATTGTACAACAATGCAGACTTTCTATCAGTGAGATTTCAAACTTCGCTTACTGCAGGTCAAAGAATCTTTAATATGCAATAGATAAATGAAAGTCCACCCACACACCTATATACTCTGTAGTCATATACGCTGCGTCTATAAGTAAACCTTTAACGCGTAGGAGTATTTTATCATATTTAAAAGCTAGAGTTGAAATTACCATTACAATTATTAATTATCTATATAATGCTTATAAATATGTTCCAATAAAGTCTAAGACGCATATATAAAATATTTATTTTGCGCAACTATTCAGGAAAAACCAAGCGGTTAAAAACTATCGAAATGTGGCCGAATTCGGACAATCTTGAGTGTGTTGCAACAAATGGGTGGAGACGTTGTATCTGCCAGATTTCAAACTTGGCTAGCTTCCTGCAGATCAAAGAATTTTTATATGCGTATGACAGTTAAATTCAAAGCGATAGCTCAACGCACACCCACGTATATGTAGTCGCATGCTGCATGGGTTTATGAATGGCAATGATGCGATCCAGTCCGCTCGAACATTTCAGCTTTAATTGTTTACAAATTTCTGTATTCAATTGATAATGCAGTGGCAACTATATATATTTTACCAGATCGATCTTTAAATGTGACAGACATTTTTCTCTATTGGTGTAAAGGTTTATATAAAGGGTGTCTCGTTTACGGTACTTACATAGCATGATTCAATTCTGTATAGAAATCTAGGTACCATGCGTGCTGAACGAGTTTCTTTCTGGAGTTAGAAACAGAGCAGTAAATTGATTATTAAGCTAAGCGCAAGGAGAGCCTGAAATAACCGTCAAAATTATCTGAGAGAATTTCTGACCAACATTGTCTTTATTATATCTTCAAAAACTCATTAATAATTCATGAACCAATTATGCAATCTTGAGTAAGAAATTAGTCACGTGCATACGTCTTTATACCAGCTAAAGAACACTTTAACAAAAGACCATTGTTATGCAAACTATATAAAGATTTTTATATAAAGATTTTTATATAAAGATTTTTATATAAAGATTTGACTTATTATGCATACGTTTTTGAAGTCATTTAAAAACTCGCGGGTCGTGTTTTATTAGGTCTAAAGCCACTCGCGCTGCGCACTCGTGGCTTTAAACCTAATAAAACACTCCTGCTCGTTTTTTAAATAGTACATCAATATATATCTATATAATATATATATATATATATATATCAATATATAACTACAATAATATATATATTACAATAATAATACACTAATATGACATATATATTACACCAAAATCCAATATATATATAGGCCTACAGTTAAACCCCGCATATAAGAACCTAGATTTTCCAAGTTAGCCTAAACAGGTTCTTATGTACAGTATAAATGGTGGTTGCCAGGAATTAGGCTAAACATGTTCTTAAATAGGTTCTTATTCTCTTAAGAGAAAAGCGACTCATATTAGGGAGGTATGGTATATGATTTATATAAAATTAATATGCACAAATGGTCTAAAAAATTACAGTATATGCAGTATAGCGATTCTATATATGCACTTCAAAGCTACACTGATTGTAACTTATGATTTAATTTTGACTATTTGATAATATAAAAATCTGTTTTGAAATTCTAGCCTGAACAGATTCTTATTTAAAGGGGATCTAAAATACAATATTTTAGCCTAACAGGTTCTTAAATTCTAGGTTCTTATATGCGGGGTTTTACTTTACCCATGAGCACGCTCGTGACTATATGTATACCAATATGCGGTAAAACTGGCAATTTTGTTAAAAATAAGGAAAAATTATAAGCAAAACCTACCATGCAAGACTAACACCTCCAAAGTGATATCGTCCACCATAGTGACAGTGCGAACTCGGCATGTATAAAATCCAGCATCCGCAGCAGTGACGTTGTTAAGGTATAACTCTTCCTCATGGAATGGCCTCGAGTGCTTGAACGTCTGACCATCCACAAGCCAAGATGCTTGAGCTGTCACTTCAGAGGTGGAGATGTCCTCGCATAAGCAGAAAAAGTTTTCCCCTTCTGTCAAGCGTACTATACTCGGACAATGAATGCTTGCAATTGCTTTATCTGTGAAATACATGTCAATGTTAAATACATGTCAAATGCAATATATATACAATTTTTTCTGTGTTGGTGCTGTGTACTCAGGTGAATGTGATGTTTGTGATGTTACTCTGAGCATTGGGCTAGTATTCCAAAGGTCGTAGGTTCGATTCCCACCGTGGTCGGGCATATTTTTCAAGCTCGCCCGGTGTGGATATACACTCAGAGTAACATCACAAACAATATATATACAGTTGTCCGATAATTTAACCTCTTTAACCATGTTTCCAGTTTGATGGTTTTCCATGCACATTCGCGTTTCCTGCTGTGAGAATATGTACATTTAATGCAATGCAATGTACTAAAATACAATTAATACCTTCAACAATAACGTTGAAATCCTTATGGACAGCTGTGGTGGACAACGGTCCCAGAATACGTAAATGATAAACCCCACTATCATTGAAAGTCGTATTTGTCAAAACTAATGTTGTGCCATTCTCTTTCAGTGATGCCCTGACATCCAAACTTTCTACGGAACTGTCCATCGAATCGATTAATCTAACAGCTTCTTCTTGTGTTGTTGTTGTTAACGAAGGGGAAAAGTCCCAGAACGTTTCGTAGTTTTTGCCATAAGAACTAGCTGTGACATCTGGCAGATCTGATTGCAGTTTGAGAGTATCACCTCTTGTAATATAGACTATCTCTGGCGGCAAATCTATCGGGGAAATTACTCCCTTTTCTAAAAGATATTTTGAAGATTTAGACAAGGGCCTTTAACAGGTATGTGTAGATAAAGTTAGTTTAGTTCAGGTTGCATCTTGTGGTCACACTGGACAAATAAGCGATGACTCTAACTGAGCCTTTAACAACAGTTTAGAACTGATAGAGTTATCCAGTATAAACAATGTTAGTTTCTTAATCTTACCTTCCACGATAACGTTGTAATCTACTCGAATGCTCCAACCCTCATCTGGTTTTCGAAATTTACAACGGTACACTCCCGAATCAGCCAATGTCATACTGTTCACTACTAAATCCACCTGTCTCTCGCGTGAAACACGAGTCTTATTGTACGAGAAGTATGTCTCACTGCTGGAATCAACATCTCGCATCAACTGCAAATCATGTTCAGGGCTGGTTCTTGAGGAGTCCTTGGCGTACACCCAAAATGCAGTCGTGTTCCACTTGTCCACGTTTTCAATGTCAAGTCTGAGTTTCAAGGTTTGCCCCGCGGTAACAAAAACTGGGTTGCGTGTTACTTTTTTGACAGTAATCCAATCATCTAGAACAAATTCCAAAAAGTATTATTGACGAGACAATGGGGAGCGCTAATCATCCTTATATTGAAGGCTGAATTACGAAGGATACAGCTCAGTCTGACTCATGCATATATATCTACGCATGCATGGAGTACAGCTACGTTGGAAGATTGGCGTCAAGATAATAGATTTATCCACGAATCACGCGAGGATGTTACCAACATTCTCTGAATAATATCATCTTAATTGTGCGCTCAGGATTCGAGTTAACAACAAGAAGACACGAAATACGGTGGATTACCAACATTGGGTGTCAAAACACAACATTTTATAAGAATATATTAAATATATTTCCATGACTAATTACATGCGCCACTGGCGAAATTAAAAGCGAAAGAAGTGTGTCGCCACCAGCGCCCCCTATTCAGCTTCACTCGGAAACCACTTGGGATATGTCACAATGCTATATATTCATACTTACCACCAGGAGATACTAATTTAAGCTAACCCGCATCCATCTTCCTGTTACAGCATAATTTAGTATAAGTGAAAAGTCTGCCGAAAGTCTAACAGGGAATGTTGACGAGGTGGGTTGGGATAAGCCCCAAAAAGACCCTTCCACGTACCGTAGCTGTTCTCCGTGATCAGACACGAGTCTTAACTTTCGAGTCGATCAGGTTGAGCGTCGTCCCTCGCAAATCACCTTAGTTCTCAGCTGCAAGTAAGTTTGGACTAGCACATCCCCACTTTATATCCTCCGTTACCTATTATTACATCTTCTATGATCTATTTTTGTATTCGTTCAGAGCACGAGAAATTTTAAATACAACTAATATTCAGACAAGAATTTTGTTTATTAATAACGCATTGACGCAAAGTTGCTTTGAAGGTATCTCAATTCAAATTAAAGAGGAAACAATTTGCTCTGTATAATACATGCATTTAAAGTAAGAATAAATGAAGATTCCTGAGGATTCCTGTTGATGGAACAATCATTTCAACAGGAAAGATGCTAATCCACGAAAATGATCAATATTTAGGAGGCACTTCATAGGACTGTCAATATATTAGATGACATATTATAGTGACCCATCTAACCCAAGGCCTGAAAACATCATTAACGTTACGCATATCAAAAATCAATTTACCTGAACCCCTTGCGACTGTCACACACAGAGCGAACCAAAACACGACCAGAAAACCACCGCCACTTGTTTTACAAAACGAAGAACTTAGAGTCATCATTCCACTATAGCTAAACCTCTTTACAAAACAAGCTTCTGAGACAGGTCAAGCTTCACTCCTACACACTGTCTCCGGTTGTTGCGAATGAATAAAATTACAAGTATCATCGCGCTTTTTAGCGTAATTTCCTTTTATTGTTTGAGTGATGTACAATCGCAAGTACTTGACTTCCGTTTTTTCAATTTTGTTTTACAAAACAATCGTGCATAATTGGAACATGAAAAGACTTGTTTTTAACATTTTATCATTTTGTTTGTCCGGTATGTTTAACAGGCAACCACGTGGTTGGCAACTTATGAATGGATATATAAGCGTATCGGAACTAGTTTAGTCATTCTTCTTTCCAATGTTTCTATAATTGTAACATACTTGGCTATACTTGTTACAATCACGAATCTCTAAAATTTCTAGAATTTTCAACATTCTATGTTTTCCTGTTATTAATGTACCTAACAATAAGTATAGCAGTGATATTTATATAAACATTGGTTAAAACCAAGGTTATATGTTAAAAACATTGGTTATATATTTTATAGGAGAGTTGTTTGAAGAGATCTTGTCAGAAACACCTCTTAAATTTGTAACACAAGTTATTTTTTTCATTTTTAATGACTGTTTTTGATTTCAAAATATTTCACTTTGAATGACCTTGGCACGACAAATTTTCAAATGCTCAGAATTTCTGGCAGCATTAAACTAAACTAAAAAAAGTTGAAACAAACTTTCAAATTAAAGACTAAAAGGTAAAAAATTTATAACAGAAAAATCAGAAAGTATACAATATTAATCAAATTCTGGTTAGAGATTTTTTCAAGATGGGGCTAACACTCTTAATGGGCCCTTCCAAGGTTAACGACGTCATAATGAAACACGATAGTGCAAGGGGTGCAAACACGATGGTGAAAACAACATATCCAAGATGGCGTCTTTAATCTTGGAAGGGCCCATTCCGAAAGATTTCCCTTGTATTTTTTGCTTTATTAATGGTGAGAAACCGCATGAAAAATATTGTGATGTCCTTACTAGTTCTCGTCGAAAATATATTTACATAAATTAGATGATTATATACATCTCTTTCATCGTATTTTGCAAAGGAACGTGGCTGGTTTAGGTTGTCATGACTCGATTATGATCACACGAAAGACTGGTTTTTATTTTTGATCAAAAAAGCTACGTTTAATTTTCATTTAATATTATGACAATGTAATGTGAGCTGTGGGCGAAACGAATAAATAAATAAATTAAAATATTACGCCACGATGGTAAATTAATATAGCACTGAAGTGTTTTTACCTCCCAGAGAGTGTATTTTAAACCAGTTTTGGAAAGGCTTGTCCTTGATATTGGCCGAGGGTGTGGCAATAGGAAACATGCTTACTTGAACCATCCTCGTGTAAGCCGTATCATGCCGACACGCCGAAATACGAAACACGAGGGCGCATGCGCTTCATGTACGATTAATAAATGACACAAGTTTAACTTTACGCACATATTCCATATTAGGACTTTTTGCTTTGCATGATATCGAGAGCGCGCACAATTGGTTCCACAGAACGCGGGATAACGTCTATTTTCAGCGGGGAAACCGAATGAAAAGTAATGGCAGGACACTTAGGATTGTACGGGGACACCTGATGCAACATATCCAAGGACAATGTGCAAAATAGCATGAAAACCGGAGTAGGGGATTCGATTGTAAGACTTTAAATTTTCCTTGACACGTTTTCTTTGCTCTTATGTATGGCAAAAATTTTCTTGTGAAGGAGTCTTGTTCCAAAGCTGGTCATGCCAGCTTTTGGACAAGGAAAATTTGTTCGTGCGTACGGCCGCCAGGAAAACTTGACAAGAGTACAAGAAATACTTCTATAAGGTTTTGGCAAACAAAAGGGGACCTTGACGTGAGATAAATGTTTAACAACATTCGAACAAAACTTGTCAATACAAGATTTTTTTTTAATTAAAAAAAAAAATTTTCTTCTTCGAGAGAAAGTTGTCACGGAAAACTTGTTGACCATACACACGAGAAGGTAAATTTGTCAAGGAGAACTTGTCAAGGAAAGCTTGTTAAGGAAAGCTTGTTCAGGAATGCTTGTTAAGGAAAGCTTGTTGACAAGAAGGTAAATTTGTCAAGGAAACTTGTCAAGGAAAGCTTGCTAACTGTACACACGAGGAAGTAAAATTGTCTAGGAAACTTGTTGACCGTACACACGAGAAGGTAAATTTGTCAAGGGAACTTGTCAAAGAAAGCTTGTTGGCAAGAAGGTAAATTTGTCAAGGAAAGCTTGTTAACCGTACACACGAGAAAGTAAATTTGTCTAGGAAACCTTGTTGACCGTATACAAGAAGGTAAATTTGCCAAGGGAACTTGTCAAGGGAAAACTTGTGAAGGAAAGTTTGATGACAAGAAGGTAAATTTGTCAAGGAAAGCTTGTTAACCGTACATACGAGAAAGTAAAATTGTCTAGGAAACTTGTTGACCGTACACACAAGAAGGTAAATTTGTCAAGGAGAACTCGTCAAGGGAAAACTTGTCAAGGAAAGGCTTGTTGACAAGAAGGTTGACAAGAAATACTTCTATGGTTTTGGCAAACAAAAGACAGTGAGACGTGAGAAAAATGTTCAACAACAATCCGTGCACACGAACAAAACTTGTCAATACAAGATTTTTTTTTTAATTAAAATTTTTTTTTTTCTTCGAGAGAGAAAGTTGTCACGGAAAACTTGTTGACCGTACACACGAGAAGGTAAATTTGTCAAGGAGAACTTGTCAAGAAAAAACTTTTCACACAAGAAGGTAAATTTGTCAAGGGAAAACTTGTCAAGGAAAGCTTGTTAACCGTACACACGAGGAAGTAAAATTGTCTAGGAAACTTATTGACCGTACACACACGAGAATGTAAATTTGTCAAGGAGAACTCGTCAAGGGAAAACTTGTCAAGGAAAGCTTGTTGACAAGAAGGTGAACTTGTCAAGGAAACTTGCTCGTCTATATACTTACGAAGCTTTCATTTTTGTATTGGCTTCCACCCAACCATCAGACCATTATATATATATGCACTTAAATGATCCGGTCCACGCCTTTATGATTATTTGCATTTAAATATATAGATTTTAATAAACTTTGCAATAAGATGCGCATGTCAATATTATATTAAGTGACAGTGTATATGGACGAATAACCTGTAATGACATAATTGTCAGTTATATTAAGTGACAGTTATTGAATTGAATTTGTAAATTGCGACAGCTGTATCTCTAAAAGGCCCAAACTCCCTGAAGTGAATTAGTTGTGTCGGGTTGAAGTAAAAATGTCCGGAAACAATACAATGACAATGTATACTAACCTAGCCATAGGTGAAAGTGCTACGGTGATTTTGATAGTGTTTACATCAATACAAGTGCTTGTTGGCTCAACGGCAAATTTCATTGTCATTTTTACAATACTAAGATCGCGAGAACTCACAAAGCGCTCGGAGGATCGACTTATACTAAACTTGGCCTTGGCAGATTTCCTGACGCTGACGACGCTCATGCCTCTACATATCTACATACTTTGGCAAGGGCACATCACAATGGCAGTACAAAGGAGATACGAAGCCTTGAATTCATTGGTTCTTTACTACGGAGGCAATGCTGTGATGGCCATAGCTTGCGATAGATTTATAGCAGTATTACTACCAATGCGCCATTCGATATTGATGTCAAAAAGAACGACGTTGTTCATGGCATTTTTAACATTTATTGTAGCAGTTATCCTTGCTGTCCTAGACTATCTGAGCGCCGATCTGACGGAGAAATCACGCAAGCTGTTGATCAAAATACTGTTCATGCCATACAACGCTATATTTTGTACAGCTCTAGCAGTCATATACAGTATTATCTTGTACAGTACATTAAAACAAGCTAGGAGGATTATGAAACAGAGAAAAAGCATCGGAGCTCAGTTTTGCAACTATTCCATGCGACCTCTCGTAAAAACAACTCTGAAAATAACTTTGTTGGTAGTGCTATATTACGCGACGTATCTTCCTTTATCGATTTACATATTCCTGTATTCCTCAATCGTGGAAAATCAAGAAAGAATCGCGCAAACAACTACGCGCTGTTGGATTTACTCGTTTCTATTCTTGAATTGTTGCGCGAATCCCTATGTTTACGCGTTACAGACAGAAAGATTCAAAAAGGCTGTTTATAAAGCATGGTTAATCAATATTCGGTCAAAAAGGACCGCAACTATATCGAGATAATAGTAAAAAGTTATTTTAGCCCTATATTGATAAGAGGATCCAATGATCATCATAAATTGTAAATGTAGATATTAATATTCATGTCATGTCATCGATACTCAAAAAATTAATTAATATCATTGTTTTTATATTCAAGCGACTCATTTCGTTTACAGATATACAAATCATAAAATTACTCTACTTTATTACAAAAGCCTGATGATAATGTCTTGTTGCCTTGAAGTAAGCATTTGGAGACAGCAGTGAGGCAGCTGCAGGTTATCAAATTCAGAAGTATGTATCGAGGAGCGAGCAAGTACACTAAACTTGATTTTTTTAGTTAACTGTTGACCACCATCTGCTACGTGATATTTGCGTGATGTACTTAAAGAAACTCAGTTATATTAACTCGACAACTTAAATAAACACAGCACTTGTTGTGTCGTCGTCATCACGTTTGCTTTTCAAGCTGGGTTCAATCTTTGGTCGGACCTCTACTCAAAGTCTTTTAAGACTTTGAAAAGTAACTGAGACCCGTTTCATACGGCGTACTTCACATGTGACGAATGGCATTAAAAACAATAAGTATAATGAGGCATTTCAGCTCATTATCTATTGTCTTTAATGTATTCGGCACATGTGAAGTACGGCGTATGAAACGGGCCTGAGGAGAAAGAGCTACCTTTATATTGACATCAGTAAATGGTTAGACTTTCGAGTCTTTTCAAATAAGGACGTTAAAATCGTAGGTATATTGGATCCCCTATCAATTTGGCAATAGCTTGTTCGGAAATCCGCTCACCATTGTCTTGGGTGTGTCGATATAGGCTTTGTTTGCAGTGACGTTTGCAGTGACGATTTCATTTGACGGGCAGGTATAACAAAAACCAGCTATTTTAATGTATTGATCGAGTTTAGAGACTGTTTAAGACTCAAAAGATGAATTACCGCTCAGTTTTTCTTGCTATAACCATTCTGATAGGAGAAAAATCGTCCACAAGTTGTTTGATTGCCCGTGATTTGGATGAAAAGTCACGTGATTGCAAACAAAGAATTAATAGCTTAGTCAAAAATTCCAATTCTACGAGACAACGCGGACTTCGAGAGATCAGTATCACCACGTGACTAGTGACCAAGTGTTGGATTTCCTAACAGGCTATTGGTCCTATATTGCGAATTGCCAAATTGATAGAAGATCAAGTTCAATCTTTAACTGCTTCCTCCAGTAATTTCTTGGCAGTGTTATGACCGTAGACAGCAGCAATATCAGCCGGAGTGTCACCTGAATCATCAGTTACATACATAGGGCACCTGTGCTCGATTAATATTTTCAACACTTCAATATGACCACCCTCGGCAGCGCAATGTGCCGGCGTCCAACCGCCGGTCATGCGCATCTGAGCATCTGCGCCGTAGTCAAGTAACAGCTTCGTGCTTGTTGCACAACCTTCGAGGAAAATAAAAACGTAATTAATACACGCTTCCAAACGAAATCACTATTTCAAGAATTTGGAAGATTGGGATTGACAAGATCTTGAAGACAATATAAGTCATTTCATGACACTTGTTTTAAAATAATTGTAAATAAATAAATAAATAAATAACCGTTAGACGCGGCAATGTGCAGAGCTGTACGCTTTCCCCAGTCCCAGTCCTCCGCGTCGATGTCAATATCTGATCCAACAAGAACACACTGGAGTGTCTTCACGTCATTATTCGCTGCAGCTTCGTGAAGTTCCGTCATGCGTCTCAAACCTAATGTATTCAATACAAAGTTGATTCATCTGTATTTACAAAGGTCTCGCAAGCACAACTGGACTGTTGGAAAGGTCTAAATTAGATTATAGTCTGCGATAGAGAAAATCAAAACTTTAAAGTCACTTTAGTCTCATTCGAGCATTGGATTATTTTATTTCGACAGTAATATGTCGTCTACAGAACTACAGCACAATAAAAACAAACATAAATTTTCCACATTGATCAATCCACTAAATTATACAAAATATATACGTTGTTTGTATACTGTTTCAAAATTGTACAACACTTACCTTGGTCAAAACACACAGTGTCTTTTCAAAGAGGAAAACAGCCTCAAAAATTCGAACGGCGTAAGTAACAAAATCTCCACGAAATATGAAAAATTGTAGCCCAAGAACTCACATTTCGGCAGGACTTACTCGCAACGAATTATTTACGTTGTATATATATATGTTTACGAATGAATCGGCCACCTGCCGTTGGGCGAGAAAATGAATAATTGATTAAAACATGACGGATGAAAAAATGGCCGTTTGCGTTTTAGTGGAACATCTTCCATTCCGAGTAAAAAATATGAATAAGACATCTTCATTTTTTGAAACCTTATCGCTCGGAAACGCAGCCTAAAAGTTTCCGCGCTATATAAGTTTTATTGCGTGTTTCATCCATTTATCTTGATAAAAATACCACGTTTTGAAGCGAAATGAAGCGAAATCAGATGAATACCAGTAAGATATATTATTAGAGGTTCCGCTACTATATACACAAGTTCATATACATGTAGTGTAAGAGACCGTTTATTAGACATCTGCGCATATCACTGACGCAGATATACTGCACTGAGCAATTTCTCCTATAGGTCGATTGCACATTACGTCACGGCGGCCATGGTGATGGTATTTCAACAAAAGAATCTCGTTCTCTTTCGTTGAATTTGGCACCATACAGTAGCCGTTATTTCCTTTTTGTTTCTAAGACATTCTAAGATTTCAACAAAGAAATCTGAAAACCTCCCCTATTTCATTAAAGTAAAGCTCTTAGCTGCTCAATGGCCAATCTTTCCAAATTATTTCGTGTTATTCCTGAACTCCTCCAAATTCATTTAAAGATATCGTTTCATCTTACAGAGTCGAGGCTATCAGTATCATGTGACGCTGTCATGCCTAAAATTAGAATAAAAATGCAGCATGTATTTTAATCAATCGCACCAATCAGAATGAGAAATACTTGGAAGTATAACCAAAAATTAATATTATTGTGTTGGTGTAGTGTACTCAGGTGTAAATTATCATGATTACTAGATTACATAGATATCGAAAGAACTAGACTCAGTTCCGAAATATCACATACTCGAACCGACCTGACCGCGTAGCTCAGTTGGCAGAGCATTGGGCTAGTATTCCAAAGGTCGTAGGTTCGATTCCCACGGTGGCCAGGTATATTTTTCAGGCCTGCCCGGTGTGGATATACACTCAGAGTAACATCACAAGCATCAAAAATTAATACTTACGCATTTCCTGAGTTTTTAATCTGTCTACTATACTTCGGCGTTCTGTTTGTTTCGTCTTCTTAAACAGGGCTTGCTGTACCTGCAAATTTGAACATTCAAAAAGATGAACCAACTCAACAAGATCAAAGTGGATGCTTGGACTCAACAGTGAGAGATCGAAAGCCCTAACAAAATGTGGAACCAGAATCTCCTACTAGATTTAACAAGGGACCGGTCATAAAGTATTTACTAGGGGGTGTGGAGGATATTTTTTTTTTGGGGGGGGAAAGAAACCCAGAACCTCTGAGGGGAGTACGAAAAAAACAACAGAGCCTCTAGGGGGGTACCAAAATCTTAGTACTATAGGTACGGAATTACATTAAATAATTATTGTTGAATATTGAATGTATTTGTGCCCAGATACGATTTAAGTTTGGAAAGAATAGACCTTATGCATAATGACGTCACAAGGCTTGATGCCCGCGAGAAATGCTGGTTTTAGTAGTCATCGCCCGGGAAAATTCGATAGTTGCCATTTTGAATTGTTTAGTTTTCCCGAGCAATGACTACTGAGACCAGTATTCCTCGCGGGCATCAAGTCTTGTGACGTCATTATGCATAAGGCCTAGGTCTATTGTTTTATTATACTTATTATTAAATCAACACAAAGTATATATGTTTCAGTCTGACTCAATGTCAGATGATAAGTAGGATTCAGTATCCGTGGAACGTTTGGAGTACAAATCTGATAAATCTGAATTGTCAGTGACAATGCTAGCAAGCGCACACCATTAGAACCTGTTAATGATAGAAGTATGAAAATTTTCACTTACATTGAAGGGGATTACGAAAATTTTTCTATAGGTTTTTGGGAGGGTATGGAAATATGTACTTGAAATTTCATTTATCCTCCACCCCCCTCTAGTAATAGGGAACTTTAGATTCGCTACGGCTACGAAATCTAGTACGACTACGAGATTTTTCCATCAAATATCAGCTACTAAAAACTTATAATGGTATGTGTTTTGGTGCAAATGTTGCTATAAAGATGTGGTATGCAAAAGAAAGGACGATAAAAAGTCTGCAGTAGCAGATATTTAACGGGAAGTATTTCGTAGTGGTACCAGATTTCGTAGCCGTAGCGAATCTAAAGTACCCTAATTACTTTATGACCGGTCCCTAAACCTAAAACTGACAAACACTTGACTGTTTATCGGACTCTTGCTCCAATGGCCTCATGCGGTTATTTCCTCATACTTCGTGTATAGTAGGTTGAAGGACAGGCTTGTGATTGAACTCAAAATCAACGAGAAACATATCCACGTGCACGAAACATGGGAACATAACCGTTTCACTAAGTTCTACCGTACAGCTGATGGTGGTCAAGCTGCAGTTATCGGAGTAAGAAAATGACGATAATTCTTTTCATGATACGTAATCTTGTATTTGGTAGGAAAAAATAGAGACATCTAGGTTAATTTATTCGCTTCTATAAATGCAAAAGACCGTTTGCAGAATTACTGGATATCATTACACACGCAATAGCATCAACTTCATTGTATCATTTCGTTTGAATTTTACTCAGTCTTGCGAATGTGTGACGTTTCTGTCTGTGTATTCAAAAGAATGAAGTCGAGGCTATTGCGAGTGTACAATGCTATGCTCCAGTAATTCTGCCAATGGTCTACAGTTATATTCTGCACATAAAACAAACAAACTTCATCTACCTGTTGGTTCAAAAGACAGTGAAAAATAAAGATGAAGAGTCCTTGAAGCGAATTAAAGATTGCGAACAAATATTTAAAAGTCAGTTCATCAAAGAAAAAATCCAGGATTGCAAAGGTCCATGTGAAGCCCAGTACTGGCATAATTATAATAGAAGCACGAGCGGACGCCTTCACTTTTCCTAACGTGTCTTCTTGTTGTACTTTTTGTGAAGTGATTACGCGACGTAGCATGATACCATAAACAATATAACTTGCCTGCAGAAAAAGAAATAGCAGTCAAGATAAATAGATAGATCAGGGGGTAGAGGTAGGTAGGTAGGTAGGTAGGTATGAAACCAACAATACTTTACACTTACCAATAAAACCACAATCATTGGCGTCATAGCTGCCCAGATAAATCCATTTGATCTACTCAACCAACAGTGTCCGGATAATCCGTAAGAGGAAGTACCACGAACACCAATTGAAATAATGACAATTAAAGCTGGCAAGCCTGCGGATGAAAAATAGTTGAGATCTCAGACACAAACCACGATAGTTTACTGAAGAATACTACCTACACTGGACCCCACAAGTTTGAGATATCAGTATACGGGCATGAATAAAACCAATTTATCATTTACGAAGAACATACCCCATCCAATGAGATGAACAAGGATATACCACTTTCGCCCATAATTCTGCTTAAAAACGTTCGTCAAAAGAAGGCAAAGTAAAATTCCTTCACAGAACATCCACATGAATACCGCAAGCACGAAGAAGTGTAGAAGTATTCCTATAGCTGTACAAGGGCCCTAAGAACAGAAAATATTGACCAACTGTAAAAATGAAGGGGAAACGAGACAATTATTCAGGTTAATAATAAAAAAGAGCCACATAGGAATGTTTTAATGAGTGTTGCTGATGGTTTTGACAACGACTGTATGACCAGTGTTATCACAGAAGAAAAGCTAAACTAAATAATAATCTCCTTGCAAAGTGATATTTCTTCCCACCTCATCTTCTTTAAAGGGTCCTCTCAACACGGAGAATATATCCAGCAGTGCAATAGCCAGACAAAGATTCATAAAGTTTACAAATCTCTTCGACCATAAAGTTTTCCAGAAATACGCATAAATTATCATGGCGAGAAGAACAGCTGCCAGAGAGATGGCGGAGCCAACTGTGGAGATGATTTCTAATTTTCTTAGCTCTTCGGAGTCCTACAACAAGAAGCATGTTAGCAGCAATGGAAGAAATAGAAGAAGAATTACAATGGGGCTAACCTAAACTCCAGCAATGGTCATCCTTCATATGCATTGGTCACAGGAAAAAACCGGATTGCTCGGAAAAACCTGTTGTGTTTGGTAGGGGAAGTTGTAGTCGTAACACGTAAAGCTCATACCAAGTTTTCTCCGGCACTTTCCACCATGACTGCAAACAATGTCAAATGATCACATTCACAAGTCGTTACGGTCTTCGTGGTGTTTTCGGGAACCAGTCGGCAACCTTCGTCACTCCATTGACTGCCTGCTACTTCAGGCTGCCAGAACACGCATCGCCTTTGATCACTTTCACGGAAAGACTAAAAGTAATGAACAAAACAGTAAGTTTCATCACCATGGACAAAATTTATTTATACAGACAAGAGAGAAGTTGGACAGTTCTATCAGTTCCAAACTGTCCTCCCCAGCATTCCGGAAAATCAGAGAAGTCCCTTCTTGTTGTGGTGTTACAACAGGAGAAAACCTATGCTGTTTGATAGTGTTACTTCTCACACGCGAGTGAGACACGAAATATAAGTGCATGTTGCAGGAATCGAACTGCAATGTTAGGTGCATGAACGTTTAACTATGACTGTACAACTAATAATTCTCTGAGCCTATACACCCTACCGTTCCATTATTTTCCAAGACAATCCTCACAGGCTGTTTAAGTTGTTCTTCACCAAGTGGCTTGACTGTGGTCGATATTATCCTCGAGTTAGAGAGTGCATAGTAGCTGCTTAAATTCGAGGTCGTATTTACATCCCCCAAGATAAAGGCAAGCGTATCGTAAATGACACTGACCACAGTAACTGTTTCTGAGCTTGCCTAAAATATATTTTGATAAAGACGATCATTTGTTGGTCTTTTATGATTCTTCTTCTTTGTGAACAATGGCGAAGCTAACCATAGCAACTGGTTATGCTATGCTAATAAATCTGCATATAAATAGGTTAAAGTCAATATATTTCTAAATGGAAATCATTAAAATTTTGCATAGCAATGACTGTTGCAATGACTAGCTTTGCCACTGCTTGTGAATAATACTCTCGAATCTATTTGTGCAAACCAATTACTATTATTAACTAGAAGATATAAACTACTGCGTGCACCTTGTTGAATATCTCCTGAGGCAGAACGATGCCACTCTTGTTCTGCTCAAAAATGAAATCTTTCGCCTTCTGTTTACTTTTCACGTCCACACGACGCATTTGAAACACGAGATTTTTCTCTACTCGGTCCTCGATAACATCATCACTTCCATTAAAATCCTTCTCCAAGTCAAAACCAAAATTATCAAGAGATGTCAATAATTCCGAGGGAGTCTCGGGATTAGTCTAAGCACAAGTAGAAATCAAGAAAAAAGAACAATCAACAAATTAATATCCTGGGGCCGGTTGTTCAAAAGAAGATTAACTTAACCCTAGGTTAACCTAAAATTGAAAGCAAACTTCCCAATAGCTTGGTTATAAACTTGGAAATATTTCTTCAGAAATCTTGTCTGGACCAATGAGAATTTTCTTCTCTGAAGTATTGAAACAAATACATGTGCAGATGGATGCATAAACAAAAACAGCAGGTTAAAATTTAACCCAGGATTAGCGCTAATCGTGCTTTGAACAACCGGCCCCTGTAGGCTGGTTTAAATTATCAAAGTTTCTGTGATCACAGTAGGAATTATGGTAGCTATAAATTCTAAGTTTCGAAGAATTTGTAAGAAATTTTTGAGGGAACTGACTTAGTGTTTATCACAAAGTCAATCCCCCCAAACATTTCTTACAAATCCTTCAAAACTTAGAATTTACCTATGCAAAATTCCTACTGTGACCACAGAAACTTTGGTAGTGTGAGCCAGGCTTAAGCAGTTATACCAAAGAAACCACCTACATTGGCACAGACAGTAACGGTTCATATTGTGTTCAAGGCTGGTCCGTCTGTATGTGTAAATTAGAGCCATTTATGTGTCTATGCATATAAATTAGAACCTTAATCCTAACCTCTTCGACCTCTAACCAAGTTTCTTGATTCTCCAGATCGAGAACATTACTTGCAGTCTCTGTGAAGGAATTTAGCGTTTCTTTCGCCAACGGTTTTTTGCCTTGTTCCTTCTTGAAAAATCCTTGCGTTCTTTTTAAGATATCCACAGTGGACAACAGATCCTTTCCAAACAGCCTGACCGAACTATTCATCCCTGGCCGTGGTTTACGATGTACTCGAGTCAAGGAACGCAGCTGATCCAACGCTTGTTTTATGTCCAGCTTAACTTTAAAGCCTTCCTCCAAGGCATCCAACTACCATATAAAAAAACATAAATTCGAAAGTAAAAATAACATAAATTCGAAAGTAATGTCCATTCGAAAGTAATTTAGAACTGATAGAGCCATTCAGTATAAATAAAGTTACAGTTTAGCTCAGGTTTCTTCCCATAGTAACACTGCATCAAAAACTTGACAAGACCCTTGCTAAACCTCTAGGAATAGTTTAGAACTACTGGTAGAGCCATTCAGTATAAAAAAAACTTAGTTTAGTTCAGGTTTCCTCCGGTAGTAACATCGGATTATTAAGAGATGGTCCTTGCCAGACCTTCAAAAAGATTTCATTTAAAACTGATAGAGTACAGCAACTTATTTCTTTGTAGGTTTTCTGCAGTTTCTTGCTTAAGAATCAAAGCACAAAAATGGGGCTTACTAGAGCTCTAGCAAATGCAGTTTATTGATCCCACAGAGTTATATATATATACCATTGATATAAGACAATGTGATTATTTTCACCTGATCTTTAAGTGAGTCAAACTCTGGACTACTACAATCTCTCAAATTAGGGACACGCCATTGAGGAGGTCGACCAGGGAAAGCTTCACAAACACGTACGGCAACACCTATGGATAAAGAACTCAGTTTCGTAAATAATAGAGATGTTTAGATCCGACTTCCACGACTGCTACCGCTAACATTGAGAGTGTGCTAATCATCCTAACTTGCAGCTGAGAGCTAAGCTGAATTACGAAGGACACAGCTTGACTCTGACAACGTTTACTCACCGGAATTTTCATCATCTGGTAAACAGTTTTGTCTATTGACCAATCCTAACAACGTTCGATCCCATTGTATTCCTTCCGATACTTCTGCTGGACAAGATCCTAACGTATCGTCTGTACCTGAAGTTCATGACAAAATATAAGTAGTTTCACTATAAGCACTATCGTGCAGCAGATCGCTGTCAACCTGCAGTTATCAGACTGAGAAAGTAATGTTAATTATTTTTTATATTTCCTGGTATGGGATTTCGTGTCCTTTTGTTGTTGCACCTGCCTTAGGGCAAATTATTTTAAATAAAATAAATAAATAAAAGTATTATACATGTAGCGTTGTATTTGGAAGCAAATAAAAATAATTGAGAAATCGAATTTAATTGTATTGCTCCTATAAGTGTTAACATTTAACACTCTTTTAACACTCTTTTTCAATTAGACTCTTCTTTCGATATTAACAGAATGCGCACTTGGAAAACCTTCTGCTCTAAATGCCGTTCTTTCAACTTAAGCTGTTGCTCATAATCTAAACTATTAATTTTTATATAGCTATGTAAATAGTGTTCTAGTCCTTGTCTTTAATGTATGTCTACTTATTGTATTGTATCAGGTTGGTCTTCACATGGGACTCATGTCCTGTTGACCATACCTTCAATCATTTTTGTATGATTGTAAAGTTAATAAATAAATTTATTAAATAAAGTTGCCTCGAACACATGTAAAGGGTTTCAGTAAATAAGTTTGAAAGTAGTATATTCTCCATACCAGGTCGTGTCACCACAACTCTTGCTATGGGACTACGAATGGTCACTCGTCTGTACGTCATTTCACAGTACATATCATAAACATCATAAACATCTCGTCTTGCGTGCAAAGTTCGAGGTATTCTCCACTTATATCGTTCACTGTTATTATCGATTGATCTCCACTTTCCTTTGGGAAGTAGCTTCCGAAACCACGAGAAAGTCACATTCGGTAAGGAAACCAAGCTGTCACAATGCCATTCATAACTTCCTGTTTCTGTAAAATACACAAAGCAAGCCAAAGTGGTAAAGTGTCTTCATTTCTGTGACAAACCTTACATTGTTTTTTTTTTCATATCTCTCATAACCACGTCAACTCTCATTTTATCCTTTACAAAATGCAGTTATTTGATTAAAATTTCGTTTCACTCGCATGCACGAAGAGTACTTCCAGTATGACTCTATCAAACCTCGCCGGTTTTCTCCGTGTACGTGCAATTTCCTCGAACAACGAAGCATTAAGCGATGGACCTCTAGGAAAAAGTTAGACAGACATGCTAATCAGTGATGGTGCTATCCACTTACTAGTCGTAAGCCGAACATCCTTGGGTCTAATTTTTATCTTCAATGAAGGTTTAACTTCCACAAAAATACTCGGCTGCCAATTTGTACGGTTCGATCTAAAATCAGGAAAAGAAAGAACTGTATGTTGGTTTTATCTTTCACCTTGTCATTATAATTAGTTTCTTGCAGAGTTCTGGGGCAGGTTGAACAAAGACCGGATAGTGATTTTCAGGTTTTCTAAAACTGTGTGGTGCAATGTATAACTTAATACACCCTACCTTGTTTTCGTGATATTGGGTTAAGGGTCATTTTGCGAAAGGACACATTCACAAAATCATACAATTATGACAGCGAATATGAAAGATCTAAAGTTTGTTCGTTCACTGCAACCAGGTATATATCAAACATGTTTTCGCTCGCTACTCTGGTTTATATAAATGAATACAAAGCCCAGTCGAATTGTATTCAAGACCCAACGTTTCGACACTCCAGTCTAGTGTCTTCATTAGGGGTCAACTTTAGATCACCCCTGATGAAGACACTAGACTGGAGTGTAGAAACGTTGGGTCTTGATTACAATTCGACTGGGTTTTGTATTCATTTATATCAGCCAGAGTAGCGAGCGAAAACATGAAAGATCTGTTTATGATTATGTCATCAGGAACAAGAATTACAGAAAGGGTTCTAAAACCAATATCTCAATCATAGCAACGAAGTTCTATTGCCAAGACCGAGCACTTTTGGCCCTCCCGCCGAGGTGTTCGGACATATTGTCCGGACAAAAATAGCAATTAGTTTTCTTAAAAGACTGGATTAACAATAAGCCGCGTCCAACAATCCTGCAAAGAAAACACAATTGCTAAATTTAAAAGAGTTTTAACTGCGCTGTATAGTGGTGTCACCCAACAAAAGCCTGGAGTCAAAATATACTCGAAAAAATGTCCAACAAGTTTTCCGATTAAATTTCATTTTGGTCGGACATTTGTCCGGACAATGTTTAAACTTATTTCAGGCTCTGTATTTTTCACTTACCTTACAACACATTTGTACGTTCCAGTATTATGAGCCCGTACATTTCGTAAAATAAGTTCTGAACTTCGATCTGTACATTTAATCTTAACCGTCTGATTCTCAGAAAATGTCTGGTTATTAAATTTCCACAAAAAGCTGACTGGGTGCGTGACGTTAGCCACACATTTCAATTGTAGATTTTTGCCAAACCTATTGACAACGACTTTCAATTTCACTAAAATAGAAAATACATAATTCAACTGAGTACATTTTGGTTGTTAGCACTTAAATGTGAAGAAAACGTCGACGCTACATATGTTATAGTTCAATTAAAATTTTAGTTCATGTTACAAGCGATTTATAACCAGTTCCCCGCCTGCCTAATAGATTTTTTCAAAACTGTGGCGAAAGTACACATTTCGTTGAAAATACACCAGACCGCAAAATTTCAAGATATGCTACTTCGGACTAATCAGGTCAATATTAATTTTTAAAGTTTTCGTTTGGCGAAATCATAAATACAAAGCAAATATTTCTCTAAAAACAGCCAGAAATTTGGCGAAAATTAATGGGTTTTCTTGTTTTTCTTAAAAAAGGCTAAATTAGAATATTCCTGTTTATAATATTTCGTGTTTTATTTATCCCGACGTAGAACGCCGCGAAAATTTGAGCAAATATTTACAACTGCATACCCAAAATTATCTTCTTCATATTCATTTACGATGCGATACGGATCTATCAATAGCCAAAGTTGTATTAGAAACGGAAGCACTTCAATAACCGGATTTTCCGTCTCTAAATCAGGCCCGTAACAACCGGGGGGGGGGGGAAGGCTGGGGGGGCCTGCAGCCCGCCAATAATTTGCTAATAATCATTCTTTTTTCAAAATCATGCAGACCCTTATCATTTAATCCATAACAAACTGCAGAGAATGAAGATATTACCCATACTTTCCTGCAACTTATCCAATATATAATTAATTAAATATGCCTTCGCCCATTTAGTACTACTAAATTGTAAATTTCAACATACTAAAACGCTGTTTTCTGACAATCAGAATTCTCTCAAATCTTCCCCAAAGTTCAGGAAATGGCATTTCAGAGACTCTAAATTTAAAAATTTCCTCGGGCCTTAGGCCCTCGCTTTCAGCCCCCCAATCGAAAAGAGCTTCCTACGGCCCTGTAAATCCTTGTCAAACGAAGAGGATATAGATGACGAGAGATGAAGACAGTTGCATCTCTCTCGCGTTTAATTGACCGCCAACTCTCGTGAACTCTCATCAACTATCATCACGTAAAACGATGACGTAAATCGATAAAATTTGATATTCACCCACACTACAGTAATAATATGTTACGCCTGATTTCCGTATGGTCTAACGGTCGTAAATATTGAGTCACGGTATTTCTCAACAGCTGAGACACACAGTTTAGAACTGAAAATAGGCGCAGTGATTATAAATAGAAAATACTTATGATTTACGCAAAATCATATTTACAAGAAGCTCGACTTTCATTAACCTAATATTCAAAGCTAACTTCCTAACAACTTGTTGCTAAATTTGGAAATATTTCTTCCGAAATATTTTCGGTATCGGTTTTAGTTTTCTTCTCTGACGTTTCGAATGAAACAGACGTGCAGAAATACATAAACTAAAACAGCAGGTTAAATTTTAATCCAGGATTAGTGCTACTAGTCCGGCTTTGAACCGACTCCAGGGGGCAGTTGTTCAAAGGTGGGTTAGCACTAACCTTGGCTTAAATTTAAAATGTAATCCGCTGTTTTAGTTTAATATGTATTTCAGCACGTCTGCTTACTCCAAAACTTTAGAGATGTAAACTCCTATCGATCCAGACAACATCTCTGAAGAAATATTTCCAAATTTATGAACAAGCTATCAGGGAGTTTGCTTTGAATTTTAGGTTAACCCAGGGTTAAACTAACCCAGCTTTGAACAACCTACTCCAAGGCTTTAAATATGATACAACGAACTTTTATGAATCTTACCAGGTCCAACAGTGGATGTCGTGGATGGACGCTGCTGTTGCTTCATATCACGTGGCCTTCCCGGGTTCCCCTGACGTTTTTCACAGTTCAGTGTTATCATCAGGCCAGCCACAATTAGGTAGACTAGGATATGCCTCATAGTCACAGCGCAAAAGATGTGGTTGTTCACTAGAAAATTGTAACGAGCTAGCAATTAGTAAACTTAAATGCGAAAACGAAACATGAAGACGAAAGCAGACTACGTTATTTTATTTATTTATTAAAAATGTATTCCGAGAAGCCAGAACCTTTCCCAGCAGCTTACCTGTGAACGACGGGGCATATACTCTGCTGGGTTCGAGATTGACTGACGAGAACTTGAATCGCGCCGCGATATTTTGCACTGAATGGAAATTTGTCTAACCAAATATATGCCCTGATATACGACAAAACTTTTAACGATAGTTATTGTATTTATCTACGCGTCGCATCTTTGTATCTTTGTAATAGATCATTCAAAAAATTATATAAAATTTCATTTTGACGGCTTTTTCATTAGACAGTCAAGCACGTCATTAAACAGGAAGAAAAATACTATGCAACGTTAATCATAATACGATTTAACAACATTCCCGCAGAGTCAATAAAAAAATTCATCTTAATTTTAATGAGGATTATGAGAGTTCGAATCCACTCTCATCATCTCTCGCGCAACTGTTTTTCAACTTTAATAATATCAAATTTTTAAAATATATATTTCCAAGGAAAAACAAACCCACCTACATTTTAGCAAGTTAACCGCGAGACAAGGCCGGAGGTTTTGACAAATAAATAATCAATATACACCCTTCCCGAAAGTGCTCAGCGCGCCTTGCCCTTGGCTTTCCGAGATTGGAGATATCGGCTATCAGAGGCTTTTAACCAACCTCGTACGCAGGCTCTTTCCACTCCGAGGAGCGTAGTGAAGAGAGTCTGGGTACGAGGCTGGCTTTTACCTTGTTTATCTTGTTACAGGTGACATATTTATGAAATTATAGATAATATAAAAGAGCAAAGAAAGTTGAGAAAACTTCCATGCAAAACTCTCCCTTCTCAACCCCCATTCGACCAGGGCTTCAATTTATAATCTAACACGAAATCCCAAAACTATTCGACGTTAAAGGGTAATGGCAATAAAACATTTTATTGCTTTATCTGAAAGAGCATGAAAAAATAAGTCGATTGGTTGTTTACTGCTCTACTCTATCTCATCTGGTTCCGAAGTTATACGCAAAAATGTGCAAAATATAAATTGCTGATTCAGCACAACGTGTGACGTCATTGGTAGGGTAAGTATGTTTAATGAATTGTAAACTGAAGCATAGCTCAGTTATTATTGGCTCAAATCAAATGACATTTTGTATACAGATAGTACATGATGAGACGCATGGGAAAATACTTCTAATTTTGTTGTCAAGGCAACGCAGTCGTTCCCAGGCCCCTTACACTGATTTTGAATAACTAGTTGCATTTATCTATGTGTATGTCATTTTCGAATTATTATCATGCAAGTAAACTTTTGGCATGCATAGGTATGGTACACATACTTCTGACATTATTTTATTCTTATAAGTACCATGAATAAAGCTGTTTTATAAAATTGGCGCAAGGGGCCTGGGAACGACATTGTTACCTTGGCAACATAATTAGAAGTGTTTTTCAATGCGTCTCATCATGTACAATCAGTATCCAAAATTTCATTTGATTTGGTCCCATAATAACTGAGCTATGCTTCAGTTTAGTATTCATTAAACATACTTACCCTACCAATGACGTCACACGTTGTGCTGAATCAGCAATTTATATTTTGCACATTTTTGCGTATAACTTCGGAACTAGATGAGATAGAATAGAGCAGTAAACGGCCAATCGGCTTATTTTTTCGTGATCTTTCAGATAAAGCAATAAAAAATTTTATTGCCATTACCCTTTAATGGCTCGGGGCAAAACATATTACGATATGTAGCGGAAGCTCATTAATGCACATATATTTCAAGAAGACAATGCGCTCTTTCAACATGACAATTAAAACGTACATGAAATGTGTTTATTACGATATTAAAATGTACTGTTCCTACATTAGCGTTTTCTATTTTTCTTCGTTACACGCATGGTATATAAGCATTATTAAAGACTGCAATATATACGACCAGGCAGCTAAAATGGGCCCCGTGTATTAGTTAGAACTTGTATTATGAGTAACAATTTATAACAGGATTTTGTGGCTGACTTGAGGTTTTTGCACAAATGCACATAACTCAAGGTCATCTATCGTCGTCGTTTAAACGTCGTGTTTATTATGTACCAAACTACAAACCAAACCAAAGATCTAATCCCATTTTTTGAGCTCATTTAAATGCCTTGGGTTCGGCAGTTCAGCCTTTGAAATAGGCCTTTATATAAGTCTGGAATCCCCGCGGCGAGGGATCCGATTTAGACCAATTTATACACAACGCATCTCGCTGCTCGAATCTTTTCGTGTGACCTTTCGCTTCGAAATATAAACACGATCAACGCTTGACCACAAGTTCTAAGTAAAGTACAACTTAGCATATATGTAATATAAGTTATATAAGTTATATATATGTTTTATAATGGATTAGCGACAATACGATTTAACTAAACTTGCCGCAAGTCAACATTTACCATACGAATAGTATCGTATCAGCTTTCATAATACAGTTAGATCGCGATCCTACTCATCAACGCAAACAAGCCAACACATATATGGTATTCAAAAGTGCTTTGATGTTAGTATATTAAATTTCATTGCATGTGACGATCGACAACATATACTAACAAATTAACCTAACAGCACTTGAATATACATACCAGAATGTGGACTATGTATTTTAACATATAACCAGCCACCCCAAAATTCTTGAATTTAATATAAATTCGTATGGTCACTAGACAAGTCCTGTTAAATCTGCCTCAGGATTCGTGAAAATATTCCTTCCCTACCATTTGTAATAGCGATGATTCCCAGATCAATATTTTGATATCATATATATACGAAACAAGAAGAAATTAACATGTATAAATATCAAATATATGGCTCTTTTAATACAAATCTCCACGGGAAGTAAGTGGTGATGACGTTGTATGACGTAAAAAGGCCTGGTCAGATTATAAAAGAATGGAGTGGGCATGGTCCACAGACAAATCAGACAAATTTGGCTAACGTTTGCGACTTACGTTCATTTACACTTGCAATATTTGAAGCGATTTCTAGTCATCTAGTGCAATTTTCTTCTGCTGATGGATGTGAACGAGTAGATCAGTTACGAATGTTCTGAGTACCTGTACCCTCATCTGAACAGTGATAACTGATTCACTCGTTCACATCCATCAGAAGGAGAAAATCGCACTAGAAATCGCGGTAAAAATTGCAAGTGTAAACGGGCCTTTAGAACTCACATGCCTAGCTATCTCTGTTCTAGTAAACAGGAGCAAAGAATAGAGCGTTTGCACTCATTCTCCAGGGAGCAACTCAACAAAAGCCATGGCGGCCATGTTGGTGTTTCAGCATGGGCGTACCGGAAGGAAAAAATTAGGGGGGCGGAAAGAAAATTGCCCGACTTTTCGGGATTCTGCCCGACCAGTACCAAAAAAAATTTTTCCGGAAAAATTGTTTTGGCAACCTCCCCCCCGTCGCCAAAAAAAATTCGGTCAGTGTACCATTTTAGGGGTCAAAAAAATTTTCGGGACGACCAATTTATTTCGGAACATAACACAAATTTTCGAAATATCACAAAATTGGCCAAAAAATTGACTTAATTTTATACAAAATTGACAGAATTTGTCCCATTTTTTTTTATTGCAAACCGAAATTGCCCGACTGTTGATCGAATATTGCCCGACTGCCCAAAAAACTGGAGGGGCTACAGCCCCCCCCGCCCGGTACGCCTATGTGTTTCAGACAAAAGAGTCTAATTAAAATTCTTTTGAATTGGAACACCAACATGGCGGCTGTGACGTCATGTGCAAACGCTCTATAGAACCGAAAGGTAATTATAAGCTTTAGAATGATCTACACGAGTGAATGGCTCTTATACATAATTCTAATGCTTAGTTACCTTTTTTTTTATTCTATGCTTCTGTAAACCGGAACAATAGTAACTTAAGGCATGTGAGTTATCTAAGGTTGTGAAAAAAAAGTAACGTTAGCCAAATCTATCTATTGCTGAAAAATCGAGGACGCTATTTGATTGGCAAAAATCTTGTACTCCGGATGCAAAGTCTCGCTCCCGGATACAAAGTCGCGATGTTCAAGTACAACAACGGAAATAACTTGTGAAAAAATTGATTTTTCCATGCCGAGTTTTGGAACGGCGGCAGATAGGCTTCCTACAATAGCCCGTTGATTACCCAGATTAAACTTCACTATATTGATAAATTGAAGTTTCTTTCTATTAATTGTAATCAGGTCCATATTCGTAATTTTATAGTTTTTATAAGCATTTTACAATGGTTGAAAAAATCATTCTTCAGTGAATATAGCGTTATCAGCCCTTCATCAGTACAATGACTCAGTTGCTGCTGATTTCTAAAATTTCCAAGAAGTGAATACCTGCTCACGAACGTTCTGTTACTGGACCACTGGATAATCATTTCCAAAATATACGTCTGTGTTTGGATTTATGTTCAAGCCGTCATCATACCTGTCTGAATTGGTCGATTTACATCTAATTGTCATGCAAAGGATAGTTGTGTCTATACGTTTGCCAGCTGTCTTACTTCTTCACAAAGTTTTTTTAAAGAGATGTTTTTACATTCGATCTCCACTTACATTCTGACCGTCAACATTATTTGTTCGAAGAAATATCGCTTATAATCAAAAGCATCAGTGCCTCAATGACATTCACCGACTTACTATTGTTCGTATAAAACAGATGTTCCGATTTCATGGTAAAAGTTCTATCAAGGATGAAGTTTTAATCAACTTATTAATTTCACACCTGCACTACTACAGCAAGCCACAAGGTTTCCACTGAGTCAGTTTGTTCCGCGTTATCCTTGTACCTTGAAGAAAGCGGTCGAACTGTTGTCCCCAGTGATTCCTTGGCTCGTCGTTTCTGCTGTACTCAAGTTTGAAAAATTCAACAAAAGTTGGTATATTCGAAAACGAACTGTTTATTATTATAGATTGTTTGACGCAGATATCATCCATCCACTCAACAACAGTCCGTTTACAAAAGATTATGACACAAGAGCAGTCGAATTCATTTGAAACTGAATTTTATCGATCTACTCGCGATCTGAAGTTTCAAGTTTGGCACCACTGCAAAGGCTGACAAAAATGGCAACGAAGACTTGAATAATCAAAAATAAAAGGGAGAGATAAAATTCGAAAATTTGACAGCCAGCGTCAAACCACCATCCTCTATCATCACCGGCGAACAGAAATGGCTGCAATAAAACGAATCCAAGTGGTTCTAGTCATAATGGCTGTACTACTTATGGAAGACAATACAATCACACCTCCGGCAGAACCAAAGGAGTGCGACGACTACTTCGACCTTACAGTGTCTTATTGGAGAAATACTAGTAACGAAGCGATCATACCAATACTTCCCGCTTCAATATGTAACGCAACCCTGGGGGGACAAAGATGGTACAATTATAGTAATTTTACTGGGATTTTCGTAATGGATAAGGGAATTCGTATTGCTGATTCAACAGAAGGACAAAAGACATCCTGCCCAAATGAACTAGGACATTTGAAGGACAAAAGTAAGTCCAAGGACGAATCAAAATTAGTCTGTTTCGCAGAGTATGTTTCAGGCCCATATGGAGAGATCTTTTTCCAACGTTTGCCAAAGGTGACATATTGCGGTTCATTCTACGTCTACCAATTACCGAAGTTTGAATGTATCAGTATAAAAAACACTGGCGTACCACATACAACGATATCAAATACAAAGACGCAACCTACAAATATAGGCACAACAAAAGGTAAGTTCTTGGTATATGCAACTGTGCGGGATCAGGAGTTGTTGTTTGCAAAAAAAGATTGGCAAGAATGACGACAGAGCATTGTCGTTAGCAAAATACAAAATTATTGAAGTATTTTCCTTGTTTTAAAAGATTATATAAACTTACACGTTTGTTTAGATCCGATTCCTATTTTAACGTTGCAGGCCCGACCACCACGAAAAGCATTGCTGACGTGTTTGAGAAAATAAAGGAACAGGTAAGAGAGAAAGCTCACAATCTTTAATTAAACCCCAGGAGCTGGTTGTACGAACGCCGGTTATAGCTTCCAGTTTATAAATTTAAATGTTTTTTTAGAATGTTTGCTTGGACAAAATTTTAAAATAAACACTCTCAAGGGTTAAATTTTATAAACCACGGTTAACTGTAATCCAGCTTTGACCAACCGGCCCCTGGTCTGGATCACCTAGCAACAAATACGAGCAACAAAAAAGTTGTTCCGACTTGCGCCAAACAACTGTTCTAAACGGATGCTATTGAGAAATAACTATACGACTCGTTTAAACAGTCAATTCGCAAAAAGCTGCGGCTTATTTAGGCTTATACCTTTCAACTCTGGGCTTATTTTAGCTGCAAATGGCAAAATTCAAATTATTTTAACAAATTAATCTAAATTGAATATTCGGTGCTAATTAGACTTTTATTATATAATGAGCTGTATTGTCTATTGAGCATGCACGTTTGCATAACTTTTTCAAGCAGTTTCACACCGACTAAATCACATCGCTGCAACATATGACATTGCATTGTCTTTAAAATTAAGCAAAATCTGCAAAACAAGAAAATCCAAATTTGATATCAGTTCTCAGTGTAGGTATTGGCAATGTACCGAACTATCTTCGCGCGTGACGAAGGGCCTTTGCTCGAAACGTCGAAGTCCTATTCACATTTTTCAGGTATATAGTTGTATTTTCTAAATTCTATAACGATTGCTTCTTCAGTTTATAACATACCTTTCAGGCAAATGAGCTTGAGAATAAAACAGGTAAAGACCAACAAAAAGCTGCACAAAAAATCATCAACCAATTGTCAAATAAAACAGATAAGGATGTCAAACAATCAGAAACCGAAATAAAGCGGCAGCAAGTTCTTAATGATACAGTCAGTATACTTCAAAAGATCGTCAATTTAAATATTCCTGATAGCGATCTCGACATACTGGGCCCAGCAAGCAACATACTGGATAGTAGAAATACAAAATCGTGGACAAACATGAAGGTGAGTTAGTGATAGAAATAAAACTGGTTTGTAAAGAAGCTCATCCTCTACTTTCAACTATTTATCGTCATGCTATTATATGTCTCCATGCTATCTTGACTGGGTATTTTTCTACACTCAATCCTGGATATCCTCTTCTCTTATTTTTAGTATGTTCACGTCTCTTTCCACATCTTTCCATCTCATCATCTGTCTTCCAATTGTTCGTAATCATTGTACTGGATTTCAGCATGCTATCTTCACTGGATTGTCGTATCATTATATACCCAAACCATTCTCGCTTCTCTTCTCTTCTCTTCTCTGATATGGCAAATGTCATCATTTCCGTCTCTTATATAGATATTCCAAGCGCCAACATCGAAATTCGCATTTCTCCTCTACCCAGCTGCTTCTGTGTTTCTTGAAACCTATGTCTGTGTGAAATTACAACGTCACTATTATTGTGATGTGTATTTTCCCATTTTCCTTGTAATTTTCTTTCCTATCCTATTATTTCCTTCCTAGGACGACAAATTGATTCGTAATCTTGTAATTACCTTGGAAAATTATGGATTCCAATATGGAGAAATGCAGAAAAATAACTCAGATGTACCGGAACCAATTAAAAACCATACAAATGTACAGCTACATGTCAAATATATAAAGCAAGGAGAAACCATAGAAGATACGTCATTCAAATTTCAGGATGCATCATTCAACCTCTCGAGCAGTGCGTTACAGCGCAAATCTGGCGTTATAGTCGTTGTCTTGTGGTATAAAACAATAAATTCCTTTCTAACAAACAGTTTTCATGATAATCAGAGCTACGCAAGACTAAATAGCAAGATCATCACAGCAAGTGTTCGATCCGCTGAACCAAAAAATTTCACTGTTCGCATCAACTGGAACATAAAAGAACTGGTAATTCAAGTCTACTTTGTTTTTGACTGAAAGTGAATGAAAATAATAGAAGTGAATAGAATAGAGCAGAATATAATACGAAGGTAGTATATTAAACGATAGAATATTAGAATACAATAGAAAACAATGGAATACAATAGAATACAAAAGAATAGAAAAGCATATAATCAACACAACACAACGCAACGCAACGCAACGCAACGCAACGCAACATATGAATTCTTTCTTTTCAGAACGACTCCGCAACATGTGTTTATTGGAAACCAAAATCAAATGAAAGTATAATGTGGAAAACAGATGGATGTAAAAGAGTGAAAGACAAGTCAGACAGTGACAGCTTGATATGTGAATGTGACCATCTTACAGCCTTCGCTGTTATGGATATTTCTAGAGATATGGTAAGATTTTAAGCTCACAAAAATCGATGCTCAAATTCTACCTGCCCTTTCGAGTTTTGATTTTCAAAGGGTTTTTAGATTTTTATCCATATGATTGTTTGTGGTAAACATCAAGATCACCAAAAAATATTTTAAAAGCAATTTGAAATGGTTTCTACCCGTTTTTCCGGCAGTTCAGATACAAACCAGGACAGCTTATTGTACAATACTGCCTCACTGGACTTCTGCGTTTGAAATTTTTTCAAGAAGTCCAGACACAAACTACGACAGCTCAATGAAGAATGCTACCTACACTGGACCAACACGTTTGATATAACCTTCCCAGGTGGTTCAGACACAAACCACAGCAGCTTATATTGCAGAATACTACCAACAACAGGACCCCACTTTTTATAATGTCGTCATAAAAGGTTCATAAAAGGGTAAAAGGCTTGGGGCTACGATACAAGTGTTGTCCACCTCTTCCTTGCTTCTGCCTGCGGTCTCCAATTGTTACAGGTCTACTCTAAACTTGATTTCTTTCACCAAGGTAAGCGAAGCTGATAGGCGAGCATTGGAGATGATATCAACTATTGGGTGCTCTCTGTCATTGTTTGGGATATGTCTGACCATACTCATACACGTCTTGTTGTGGAGAAGACTTCAACAAAATGCCAAGAGTAAAGTACCTTCCCACGTTCTCATGCATCTCTGTGTAGCCATTGGAATGACGGATATCCTCTCTATCCTGGCAGGACCCGCACATAATGATGAGGTAAAACCAGTGGGTAAAACCCAGGACACATTAGGAAACAAGGGAACAATATAGGATGATGGACCAACATGTTTGCCTTATTTTAACGAGCCTTTAGACAGAAGAACTACACGTAGCAGTCAAATATTTGCAACTCATTATTCTAAACATACTTGGAAACAATCCTACTTTGCAAACAACTCTAGTTCTCGACTATTTATGCTATAATAATATAATTTCATTTCACATTTTCGTGAGGCATTATTAGGGTCAAGCACGTATATTGGTACAATATCATAACGACCAGATGAGCTACGGAAACCAGAACTATCATTGCAGAGCTTTAAATCACGTGTTATAAACTATTACCACTCCGCAACATTAACCGTGTTTGAGCAGGAAATTCCGCAGACGTGGAAATCAGTTTGTCTGAAATGTCATAAAGCCAGGCAGCTTGCTGCAACAATGAAATGTTGTTCTTAATTGAACTAGTTATTTTGGCAATTATTCAATGTAGTATACTTCATTTTATCCGATGTAGAGTTGGTTTTTTCGCCATTTTCGTTTTATTTTATCGACGGATACAGAACCTATATATATATTCTCGCATTTATTCTGTTTGACAATTTTGTCATTTTGTTTCCCCAAATTTCGAAATTTTTACGCTCTCTCTCTACTTCGGATGAAAAGGATTATACTATATTCTTGTTTGATATTTAAATTATAAGTTGTGAATTTTTGTATAATGATGTTTTGTAACAGGTCACTAACGTAATTGGCTCACGCTGTGTTAGTGTTCCTGAACCGTCTTCCTGTTTGTACATGTATATTTCTGTTGACGGCTGAAGTTAATAAATAAAATAAATAAATAAATAACGCCATCTAAAATTTCCTTTCTAGACATTCTGTACAACCGTGTCCATATTATTATATTTCTTTGTACTTGCCGTGTTTGGATGGATGTTGTGTGAAGGAATCATCATCTATTTTCAGCTTGTGGACGTTTACACGGGATTAGGTTTAGGAGGAAGACATCTAAAGGTGTTCTATGTGATTGGCTGGGGTAAGTTGTATTAGCGGGATACTCTATACTGTGATTAGGGACCGTTAATCAGAATTACTGTGTGCATCTCGAACGTGTGCATTTTAACAAATGCTGTTATCACCTGTTCTACTTTAGGTATTCCAGTTATGGTTGTGACGATATTGGTTGTACTCCATGATCGAAAAGATTTTATAACCAAACACGCATGTTGGTGCCGCGGTGATGGTGCCTTGTTCGTGACGTTTGTTGCTACCATTGGTCTAATCTTGCTGGTAAGCCTAGTCTTCCAACGCGTATCATAAATATGCTCATGACAGTGCCAAGTAGCAATACACGGGACAACATTAGAAATTGCAATCTTCATTGAACTAACGTTGTCCGCAGAAGTCAGGGAGCCATATGGAGTGACGTTACCTCCATAGTTTACGTGACTAACTCGTGGCGTCCAAACGTCGTTACATTCCAAATATCACGTGCATGGAAGCAGTGGAGCTTGCTATCTTAACCATGGAGTTATAGTTATCTAAGCCTGCAATTACTAGCTGTGCCAGAATGTAGCTGCATTGCGAGATCAGCTGTCTCCACGAACATAAAATCCAAGCTGTTAGAATATTATACATGGTGAACGTTGCCCATCTAAATTCGGCAATTCGTACAGGCAATACTGCATTGAGGCACATAGGGAATAAAATAGCGACACATGACGCAAACTCCGTTCAAATCGCACCAGCTTCATGAAACCACAACAGCAACATCTTAAAAGAGATATCAGACATAGCAACTTTTCGAAACTGCAACATCAAAATAACAGTTTATACTAAGCGAAACACATACCCTGCACTAAAGCATGCTTCATTCCAATTTCCAAAACCTGCAGAGAGTCTTCAACGATGTATAGCAAAATATTTATTGTACTGTTTTCACTTTCAGATCAACTTAGCTATCTTCATCATGGCTTTACAAAGTACTCTATCTTCCAGTAAAGTTGGCGCGACTCGTGCAGTAAGGCCAACAACAAAAGTAGATACTGCAACAACTATGATAACTGTTGGAACATTGAGAAAAGCAAAACTCGGTCTCAAAGCGTCAGCCATACTACTTCCATTACTTGGACTAACGTGGGTTTTTGGACTGCTGGTTTTCAATCGAGATACGATTGTGTTTAAATATCTCTTCACCATTTGTAATTCTCTACAAGGAATGATGATATTTGTTTTCCATGTTCTTATAAATAAAAAGGTAGGTTTGGTCTTAGGGAACGGCTTCGTGTGCTTCCTAATAAAGTGTTGTTTTTAAAGGTAGTTCGGACAAACTATAGCAAATAATTGTAGAATTTTTAGCAACACCGCTGTAACAGCTGTCTTCGTTTTTCATCTTCAAGGTCCATGACGCAATCAGCAAAGAAAACAAAACTCGCAAAGCCAGATACATTGACAACAATGCGATTAGCAGTCCAGTAGTCCAGTCACGCCTTTCCAGTGAAAAGCAAATTACATCGTGGTGATGACTACGATAATTGGAAACCAGACAGAAAGACAATCGCGTTTTCCTGGAAAAACTTGAAATAGTAAAGCTTCAGTGGTGTCAGTTATGACCGCCAAATGTCAGTGATGGCTATAGTAAAGCCTGGTTTGCACTAGCAATTTGTGTAGTTTTTTGGCACGATGACGATTGGAGATATCCATTCGGTTGCTTCTGTATCTGGTACGTGTTCAATGATGTTCTCATCGTGGGAGGCATTAGTTGAGAGAGCCAGAGCAGGAAAGTAAACACATATTTTGCAAGCGAATTTGAGCTATAAAACTAGTAAAACCTAAGACATAACAATTTGGTCGGCGACTTTGTGTTTCTAACGGATGCAAATGAGTGAACTCGCACACAAAGGTATAGAGTCGTTTTTCAGAAGTAAACAATTCTAAGTCTTTTGCATGCCATTCATTTGATCACATTTGTTAGGAGGAGTAAAATCGCCGACAGAAATGCTAGAAGTGTGAACCAGGCTTAACTCTCAGCCTAAGTACAGCTAGACAGGAATCTCCCCCTCTCCCATAATCCATGAATGAAGATCAAGTTGAAAACAGTGCGGTGCCCTCGAGAACGCGCACCACAAGCGCGAAGACATACTACTCTTCAATCTCAAACTCATTAATAATTCATGAGTAAATTAGCCAACGATATTGCTTTATTTTGCTCACATGATAATACTGGATACCTGATGAAGTACATTGATCCAGTCCTTGGACTGGATTGATCAAAATTAATTAAATAGTGACTTAGTTGCATGAGATGTTATTTCAAATCCACCAATTCGGACCGGACAAGATTTCAAGTCCGCGTAAATATTACATAAATACCAAGGCTACCAATGCTTATACGATGCCTAACTTCATAGTTGTGCCCCTCAATTGATCTAGTTTTAATGGCGTAGGTATACTTATGAGTAAGTATTGCGCCGTTCAGTAGTCGGACCTTCCATTTTAGTCATGCGCCAGCTGTGCAGCAACTCTAGGTTTCGATCATACATTTTTATCTATACAATTGTGTTAGGTCATGTTTTACGCTTAAAGTATAGCGCGTCAGTAAAGGAATACTCGTGCATGATAAACGTTTGGAAATTAAGAACTAAAGCTAGGGAAGCTTAAGTAAATAATGAGCAACTTTGGTACGAAATAGGGTAATTTTTTACCAAAAAAGGCATAGGTCATTCTGTGTCAAACAACACTGTATTCTCACATTTGACATTTTTTTCACAAGTAACATTGTTTAATTAATTGTTATTTATAAGTTAATTGTACACTTTTATGTAAACATTTCTTTGATGAAACTGTGTGAGCACGTTAACTTTTAATACACTTGTACAGCTTTCTTTTGGTACATTATATCGATAAAAACAAGTTTATTGTAGACGACACTCTGGACCGCACGTTTTATTGAACATATTTATCTACGGTAACCTTTCAGACATTTGAGATATCTTTTCCGGATATTCGCCCACATTTGAACTAAAAAAAGTTCACTGTATTTGCCTGATTAGTCCGTGCGAGGCACAATGCACGATCATATATCATTAAATTCGTCTCCCGCTGTTAGAATTTCTAGAAACAATAAAAGCATGGCGTTGATGTAATATAGAAACTGGACTCAACGATCAGACCGGAGTAAGACCATTACGTGATTGCTAAACATTAAAAACGCATTTTGGGCTATGAAATTCATTACGTTAGCCACTATTTCTAATTTACCTATTATAAACAGCTTAGTAGATAAGTCTTGATGAATCATTTGGAAAACAGCATTGTGGACAGCTGTTAGACGCATGATACAATTATATTCATGAGAAAAACCCCACTGAATTACTGCGTTGTCATATTTAGCAATGTGATGAAAGACACTAGTAATACAATGAAATTAACAATATTTAAAGAAAATAAATCACGGGAGACTTAGACGTCGTCCACGTGCACGGTCTGTTTACAACCGGTAAACCAGAGCTTTTTACGTGCGGTGAACAACGTTTCAATTTTTTTTCAATTTTTTTTACAATCTTTGTCAGATAAGTGACAGGTTATACTCACAGAGCTGAACACTCCTTTACGGGTAATCTTAACTATTTATACAGAATGCATGTAAGTGATAATTTTCGACAACACGATTTAACAGACAAGGGCAGACATGAATGACAACAAAGATTGTTTTGAAAGTTTGTGCCACACCAATGTCATAAATTTCCTCAGAAATTTTCTGATAGTGTTTAAAGAGATTACATTTAAATAGATTAATAGAGAGATTTGATTGACGTAAATCCGATATATGATAAACAGTTTAATGTCCTAGAAGATCTGCTATAAAAACTGTTTTGAAATGTTTTAGTACCTAAGAAGGTGGATACTCAGCGAAATGGTTCAGTACTAGGCTACTGTACTAGTGTGGAACTCTACTCAATAAAAAGCTCCTGTTTTGATCTCTTAATTCAAGCTAGCTGTGTTAAATTCATACGATTGATAATATACGATAAGCTTTCTTCATAAATAAGTTATTTGAATGAATTTGTTTTGGCCGTCGTCGTCGTTTTGTCGTCCTACATGCATCTTAAGGTCTCTAATGACAACGCAGTGTCGAGTTTTTCTCATGAATATATTCTATCATGTTTTGTTTCCCTGACGATGGCACTCAGTAGACACAATATAACATGATTATTATACTGATTAACGAGTGGGAAAAGCGTGGCCGTAGGCCGAAATGCACAAACAAAATAAAGTCATTAGGAACCGTCGATTAGCCGGAAGTTGAAAAACAGCGTAAAATTAGAGTAAACGTTAGTAGATCACCGTATTTCTTTTGCTTTAGCCCCTGGGTACGGTGGTTTCTCGGAAAGGGGGGCTAAATAGAGGTTGGGGGCTAACTACATGTTCACGTTCTTGTAAAAATATTCATTTACGTCATTAGGAAAACATTTGAATAAAAATTTGGATACAATTGAGCATTACTGAGTGATATCAGTGAACGTCATCGACACAGCATTATCAGTGAGTCTTTTCGTCGCAACTATCTACGGTCGCTTTCCATAAAATGGAAAACAAAACGTTTGGGCTTTGGGCCGATCCGGACAGGAAAATTTGAAACAAATCAAAACGAGGTCAGCTTTAGGCTGATTTTCGAAAAAGCCGGACCAGATCATGAAAACAGAAATTATGCTATGGTTGGTCATTCCTATATAAACCACAAACGTGGTACAAACTGAAACTGATTATCCTATAAAAGCAAGGGGAGCCTCTGTGATTGGGAGCCTCTGTGATTGGGAGTCTCACTTGATTTTTTACTGATTACGTTACGTCGTTACCTGAAAGCAGTTTTTCACATTCAGTGTGGTTTTCCACAAGTACACTCAAGTATATATCAGGTGTTTCATTCGAAAGGATATATTGTTAATCTACCGCGAAAGGGGGTTTGAACATGTTGACCCTCAAAAAGCCTGGAAATGCAAATTTCGCAATCTTAGCTTGTGTCCACGTTTATCCCTCAATGCTCTTCTAATTTACCAGAAAATCAGCTCAGTCAGTTAGAAATTTACCCGAAATATAACAGGTGGAGGATCGGTCACATCCACTACACCCTTCGGTCGCTACGGCCCTGCGTACAAGACGACACGATGTAGATTTTAGTCAAAGTTTACCACATATCATTTTGCTTTGCTAGATTGTCTTTGAAAAATGAACTAAAACGGAAAATAATTAATGAATATGAGGATTAATGGCAGTTTCGCCATTAAAATATTCTGCCATTTAAATCTCTCTGTTTTTGTTCGTATTGTGTCTGTTTTTATATCAGTTTTGTCTGTGTGTTTGAGCTAATTAAAATATAAATTGCTTTGCAAAAATTCCCCTATTGTTCGTAAATGTATAATCTTTGCTTTAATGGCCGCTTGTCTCGATTAGCCCCAATGGTTATTACAGGCGACCACACCTATATGTTTATGCACCCTAATATAATTATTCATGTATATTTATAATCAAATAGTGCTCAATAAAAATTTCTTCTTCTTCTTCTTCTTGCCAAGAAAATTCGACTCTGTCTTATGGACAAATCTTAGTTTCCTCTGCAGAAAAGAGCGAACATTTACAGTTTCTTATATATTCGCACCACGGCCTATACGCTCAGTACTGAACGTACAATTTAATGTACAATCTAACCATATAACAACGCTGTAACAGCATCTGTCACCTTCCGGATTCAATCCAGTCTAAACAGTGCAGGCCATATTTGGAAGCAAAGATACAAATGTGCTGAACTGCACACACTTCCACCCCCGAGCCATCGCTCATCACTCTCCGCCCTATGTAATCCAATTGAGACGACCTCCTAAAAGTATTCTTGTTATAAAACACCAAGCAAACTTTGGTTGCGATTTGCAGACCCCCTACCAGCATTAATGGGCAAATGTTTCATAAGATGTGTTTTTTTATAATGTGTGCTAGAAATCGCGTATTATTTTATTTCATTTCAACATTTTCATATCAGTGGCAGCGCGTGGAATCAGATTACCGTTTTGAAGTAGGTGTGAACTGCATTATATTTGTGTGACACCGTTGAGAAAAGCTGATATGATTTCATATGATCTCGTACAAAGATATCTGACTATAGTATATCTGTCTGAAATCGATATCGACAGTTCTCTTAAACCATTTACATATGCGACAAGACAAGATATCGAAAACAATCAAATGCTGTCCGAGGTTTGAGCTTTTAAAAACAATTGCGTATTGCACAAATTGGAAAGCAAACAAGGGAGTATGGCTAGAAGAAGGTTTAAAAGATTCGCGACTAATTTGATATCAGCGATTGCGTTGCTTATCCTGGACAATAATATTTTATCAAGTGTTTCTGGGTTTCCATCGCAATGTACGAACTATCGTAACCTCGCTGAAAGGAATCGTAATGTGAACAATGCCCTAGCAAGGCTGCCATTATGCGATAAAAAAATCTCTCACATGAATTGGTACAGAATCACTAATCGAGCTGGGAGTATTTTAACTTCAAAACAGGTCCGGACAGGTATGTGTGGTGCACAGAACCCTGGCTGGCTACTCGGCGATCATCCTTGTACAAAATACGACACTACAGACGCTCAAGTATGCTTTGTTAATCAAAGTAGTGACTGTGGAACACAGGTTAACATCTCCATAACACTCTGCGGGGAATATTATGTATATCGACTGCCGGCGTTAAATTGTTCTAAAGAAATCAGGAGGAGGTATTGCGGAGAGGACAGCGAGATTCCCGTTCCCTCCTGTAACATCACCAATGCTCCTATCTATCCGACGAAAATCTTCAATGGACACACAACAAACCCAGGTATATATAGATATATAGATACAGATATATAGATACAGATATATATATATACAGATATATAGATACAGATATATATATATACATATATATATATACATATATATATATACATATATATATAATATATATATATACATATATATATATATATACATATATATATATATATACATATATACATATATATATATATATATATATATATCATATATATATATATATATTACAATCTGCAGACATGCATGTTTCGGCGTCCTACGCCTCATCAGTGCAGCTTGGTACACATCTAGACACGCAATGACTTTCGTATTGATATACATGACACTTGCTCTCCCAAGCGCATGTGGTACAACACGTGGTACAACACGTGGTACAAGCACATGTGGTACAACTATATAGATATAGATATAGATATACATATACATATGGAGCAAAAACTTCAGTCATTCGGTCAAGTCAAGACTGGCGGAAACTCGTCACACCATTAGCACCTGGAGATCTAGCTACAACCGGAAATTTGAAACCAAACTTGAAGGCCAGTCCCAGTCTTTTCACGCATGCGAAGAGCGCTCAATCAACCAATCATGATATAAACACGCGTGTCTTTTTCTTGAAGCCAAGTCTTGTCTGGGGTAAAAGATTTGGCTTCAAGAAAAAGAAGGCAGTTTATCTAAAGATAACGTTCCAGTTATATTCATTTCAATGCGTCACACACATAAAAGTTATGAAATATAGAAGAAAAAATGACATTGTCTTTGCATTAAAATGGAGGACAGTAACAGTGAATAATCCAGAGGATGGCAAAGGATAAGAGGGAATGATGAGGATTATGAAGGAGATACTGGACTTCAGGAGAATGATGTGGAATTGACTTACACAGAAAATGTTTATTTTTTTGATTTTGCTGCCAGGAAGAGAAATGTATTTTCTAGGTTTGGCCTGATCTCGAAACAAAAGGACGGAAGACCCTAATATCAAGTTACAACGTCGCAGTGCAGCGCAACTCCATGCAGCACAGTACAGTTTTGGTTTGTGGAAAACGGAAAGTTTAGTAAATAAACGCAATGTCTTCCACAAAAAAACCGATTACAGAAAAAATATTTTCCAAACAGTTCCTATTTAAATGAAATCAAACAGATGCTCGATTGCAAATATAAGTTTTGGTGGACGTGACTTGTGCCAACGCACTACATAATTGTACGTCACGTCCACCAAAACTTATACTTGCAATCGAGCATCTGTTTGATTTCATTTAAATTGGAACTGTTTGGAAAATATTTTCTTTATTACTTTAATTTACGAGACACCGCCGTCAGTTAAAAGGTCACGTAGGCCTAGTTCAAACGTCCTAATACACTTTAGGTTCGGCATAGTTCCGCATACTTCGAAGGTTGATTCAAACGTCGAACTGGATTGAGTCGAACTTAATTGTAAAATGCATGGGATAGAATGGAGATCTTCTCGGCCAAATACGTTAGGTTCGACACGGTTTCCATATGACGCCGACCAGCCGCCAACTTATTGTCGGCAGTCAACGACGGAGAAAATGATTTCAGATACACAAAGGATTTTACTCATGAGTAATCACCGACAATGAAACTCGCCGACTGTCGGCGTCATATGGAAACTAGGCTTCAGTTTGTCGAACTTAATATTCGTGTCGAACTTAATTAAACTTGTCGAACTTAATTTATTCAAACGTGGCGCTTATGCTAAACACGAGTTAGGTTCGGCACATTACAAGCGCGACTTTTGAACTACAATAGGAGCCCTATCAATATAACCTATAAAAAACGTGCGTGCGTGGGTTTTTGTATTCAACTTCTCAAGCAGAATTCTGTACACCACTTTTAGGTGGAAGCTGTGCCTGAGAGCAAACGAGTATTTGCGTTGTTTTTCTACATATGTACATTGCTATCACGATTCTAAAATCAATAATAAAAATAACCTTTCTTTCTGAAAATACCTGCTCATAAACGTCATATGTCGTCCTGTTTCACAAGTCCTTGTTAATTTGGATTTCAGCCCTTAAGCCTTCAAAACCTCTCTCATGTGTGATAGACTTGACAACGTATACTGTTACTCTTTGTTAGACTCTTTTCAATTATTTCTGCAGCTGTTTTTAGGTTACTTCTTTACAAAGTTTCTACAGGCAGTACTTTTACACCGACTCTCTGACCGTCATCACCGGTTTTCCTTTTGAAGAAAAACATGGCTAATATTTAAAACCAAATTTGTCAGTGCATCGATGTATTTCGTCCGTTGATTTTATTGGTCGGTTTTTATATACAACGGCTGTTTCAAATTCATAGCAAAAGTGCCATCGAGGATCAAGTTGCCTCTAACTTTCCACACCGTTCTACTAGAGCGGAGTATGGAAACATCAGTTCATTCTGCGTTTTGAGAAAGAGTTCTTATAAAATAATTGTCCCAAGAGATTCCTTGCCTCATCGCGACTGCTTTACTCATTAGAAGAAACTGAAGAGACGTAGCAATATTCCTAACAAACTTGCAGCCGTTGGAAGTTTCAGCAAGAATAATATATTCGTAATTCCACGAAATTAGTGACTTTTATCTAGCAGAGACAAATTTACAACAGCTTGTTATATATCAACCATCGAATTTTAAATTAAAACTGTATTCTAACGAATACGTTCGAATACGCAGACTTGCGGACTGGCAAAAAAGGCTTAAAGAATCAAGAATAAAGATAAAAACTCTCTATAAATTTAGTTTCCATTCAACCAATGACATCTAACTACCATCGTCCATCATCACCAAAAAAAATGGCGGCAACAAAACGTGTAGTGGTTGTGGTCATAATGATTGTACTACTTCTGGAAGACAGCACTGCAATCATGGGTCCTACTGCACCCACTACAACGATATCAAATTCTGGTGCACCCACTACAACGATATCAAGCACTGGTGCACCCACTACAACGATATCAAATTCTGGTGCACCCACTACAACGATATCAAGCACTGGTGCACCCACTACAACGATATCAAACTCTGGTACACCCACTACAACGATATCAAGCACTGGTGCACTCACTACAACGATATCAAGCACTGGTGCACTCACTACAACGATATCAAGCACTGGTACACTCACTACAACGATATCAAGCACTGGTGCACCCACTACAACGATATCAAGCACTGGTGCACTCACTACAACGATATCAAGCACTGGTGCACCCACTACAACGATATCAAATTCTGGTACACTCACTACAACGATATCAAGCACTGGTGCACTCACTACAACGATATCAAGCACTGGTGCACTCACTACAACGATATCAAGCACTGGTGCACTCACTACAACGATATCAAGCACTGGTGCACTCACTACAACGATATCAAGCACTGGTGCACTCACTACAAACGATATCAAGCACTGGTGCACCCACTACAACGATATCAAGTACTGTTGCACCACATGAACTATATCAAGCCCTGGTGCACCCACTACAACAATATCAAGTACTGTTGCATTACATGAAACAATATCAAGCCCTGGTGCACTCACTACAACGATATCAAGTACTGTTGCATTACATGAAACTATGTCAAACACTGGTGCATCATATACAACGATATCAAGTACTCTTGCATTACATGAAACGATATCAAGCACTGGTGCATCATATACAACGATATCAAGTACTCTTGCATTACATGAAACGATATCAAGCACTGGTGCATCATATACAACGATATCAAGTACTCTTGCATTACATGAAACGATATCAAGCACTGGTGCACCCACTACAACGATATCAAGTACTCTTGCATTACATGAAACGATATCAAGCACTGGTGCATCATATACAACGATATCAAGTATTGTTGCACCATATGAAACCATCATATACAACGATATCAAATACAATGACGGGCACAAAAGGTATCTGCAACTATGCAACATTATGTTGTTGTTCACAAAAAGCAAGGACTGGCAAAAGAGACGGTTTGTGTAAGCGATATAATCCGTGTCGCACAGATCACACTGAAAAATGTGGCAAAGCGTTGTGTGCATAAAAAAGAAAAAAATAATAGTTAAATTCTGTTTCGTTTTAAAAGATTGACTTAATTTACATGTTTGTTTAGATCCGACTACAATTTCTTTATCGACCACCAAGAAAGTTGACCATGGCTTGCTGAGTAAAATGAAGAATGAGGCAAGAGAAATATTATGTGTACTTTCTATGTACTATCAGCGGCTGTGTTGTTTCCCGTAACAACATGGACGCGGATGCTAAAAATAATAGCTTTTGAAATGTCTTGATGAGAGTATTCGTATTCTTCAACAATTTAGTCTTTCCCAGTCAAAAAGTAACTATAAATAATAAATATGTTACTTTGGTGTATTTTTTATGTAAAATAACTTACTACTCCACTCTACTTTGTGTTAAAACTTTGTTTACATGTAAAAAACGCTTTCTAGAACACTTAAAAAGTTCATGAATTGCCGCCATTGACGGCTTTCTCGGCCGCAAACTAAAGTGAGATTGCACTCAAAATTTCTCTGTTTTCAACTTTAATAATATTAAAATCCTAAATTTTGTTGTTTAGTAAAATCCAGCGTTTTTAAATGTTCGTACTCATCCTAAATCTCTAAAATTGATATCAGTTTTATAATTTAATTTTCAGGTCGACGAGCTTCATCGTAAGAACATATCAAACGAACGCCGAAAGGAAGTTGCACAAATAATCATCAACCGATTGTTAAACTTAACAGATCTGGATAAGATGGACGAAAATGGAGTGAAACAGCAAGTTCTTAATGATACAGTCACAATACTTCAAACGATCGTTGATTTAAATATTTCTGATAGCAATCTCAACATACTGGACCCAGCAAACAACATATTGGATAGTAGAAACACGAAATCGTGGAGAAACATGTGCATGAAGGTGAGTTAGTGATAGAAATGAATTGGTTTCTAAAGAAAGACTAAATCCTTCGTCCGTGCTTTTCTTCTTCTTCGTTTTAATCCATGATGGGGTGGGCGGCCAACGCGGCCATGGTACGTATCCTCTCTCTTAGTTGTAGGAGCAACATGTCCCTTATCTCTCGATCTCATCCTCTGCCTTCCATTGTTCATCGCCTTTCTGCTAAGCATGCTATCTTCAATGGATCTTCCTCTTCTCATAATGTATCCATTCCATTCTGGCCTTCTCTTCTTCTCTTTTCCTAAACGCCTGTGTGACATTATAACGTGTCTCACGGCTACTTGATGTATCCCTTGCTATTCCTTCTAGGACGATAAACTGATTCGTGATCTAGTCACAACCCTGGAAAATTATGCATTCCAACATGGAGAAAACTTAAAAAACAACTCAAATGCTTCGACTATATTTCAAAACTACTCAAACGTACAGCTGTACGTTAAATTCATAAAACGAGAAGATAATTTGTCAGCGGAAGAAAGATTATTCGAGTTTCCAGATGCGTCATTCAACCTCTCGCCCGATGCATTACCGCAAAGTTCTGGCGCTGTGGTCGTTGTCTTGTGGTATAAAACAATAAATTCCTTTCTAACAACCAGTCTTCACGATGATCATAGTTATGCAGAAATTAACAGCAAGATCATGACTGCAAGTGTTCGACCTGAACCGAAAGACAAGTTTCTACAACCTGTTCGTATCAGTTGGAACATGAAAGAACTGGTAATTCAAGTCTACTTTGTTTTCGACTGAAAATGAATGAAAATAATAGAACTGAATAGAGCAAAATATAATATCAAGGTAGTATATTAAAGCCAGCCACAAAGGAATGCAATAGAATACATTTGTTAAATACGAATATCACGCCATGTAGGCTAATAACTGAAAACAACTTGAAATATGAACTGTTTCTTGACCTTTTAGAACGACTCTGCAACATGTGTTTATTGGAAACCAGAATTAAATGAAAAGTGGAAAACAGATGGATGTACAAGAGTGAAAGACATGCCAGACAGTGACATCTTGATATGTGAATGTGACCATCTTACAGCCTTCGCTGCTATGGATATTTCTAGAGAAATGGTAAGATTTTAGGCTCACAATGTTCGATACTTAAAAATTTCTACCGTAATATTCAAATAGTTTTAAAACAGTTCTTTTTAACAAAACCCAACGATATCGATTTGAATATCGATTTGAATTTGCATTCCCTCCAATTGCTCTAAATTGACTTGAAAATCTCAAATGGTAGACAGACCACGGTCATATATAAGTATATTTTTTTTAGATTGAGTGGCTTGTCCAGAAATTCAACAAAGGGTTTATAATGATGTAATATGCATCTAGGTCCAGTCCAGCTTAAGTCGCTTGATAATACATATTACAGTGTTGGGTTTTTACTGTAAATATATGCACTATATTCTATATTTACGTCAAGGTAAGCAAAACTGAAAGGCGAGCATTGGAGTTGATATCAACTATTGGGTGTTCTGTGTCGTTGTTTGGGATATTCCTGACCATTCTCGCACACGCCTTGCTGTGGAGAAGACTTCAACAAAATGCCAAGAGTAAAGTACCTTCGCAAGTTCTCATGCATCTCTGTGTAGCCATTGGAGTGACGGATATCCTGTCTATCCTGGCAGGACCCGCACACAATTATGAGGTAGGGCACTGACCTTATAGACCTTAACCTGTGATCAGCCGCTCTAAAAATGAGGTTTCTTTTTCAAAAACGCCTGCAATGACCTTACTTCTGTAATCCTGTGGAAACTACGGACTTTAGAGAGTGGTATCAAGATTTGACAATATATTGAATGATCAGTTAAATGATTGAATAGTAGTATCACCACAAATGAAAGACAATAAAAACTTTGTGAATTTCAGCAGAAAACCTGCATAGGCAAGGCCTACTGTAGTCCAAACACTCTGCTTATGCCAATAATCCTCAGTTTGTCTTCAAAATACGGTACAAAAGAAGAAAACCGAGTTCTGTCACAAGTGTTGATAAAAGTTTTAAGGCATTATAAGCATTAAACATTGTAGTCAAAGTATTCTATACCATGGCACAACACCAGCCACGAATTAGCTTCATGATTAAAGACAATTACCTAGCAATAACACTGTCATCTCATGCTTTCCCTTTCTAGACATTCTGTACAACCGTGTCCATATTATTATACTTCTTTGTACTTGCGGTGTTTGGATGGATGTTATGCGAAGGAGTCATCATTTATCTTCAACTTGTGAACGTCTATACGGGATTGAGTTTAGGAGGAAAACATCTAAAGGTGTTCTATGTGATTGGCTGGGGTAAGTTGTTTTGGGATAAGTGATAAAGAACTGTGATGCATCTTGCGTTGTTACGAAGAAAAATAATATAGTGAAATAAAGGAAGTGCCGAAACGTTGGGGCATGAATTGTACGTTTTATTGACAATAATACTGTACGAGTGCATTTCCCAAACACACTTTAATTAACAAATGCTGTTATCACGTGTTCTACTTTAGGTATTCCAGTTGTAGTTGTAGCGGTGTTGGTCGCGCTCAATGATCGAAAAGATTTTATAACCAAGCACACATGTTGGTGCCCTGGTGATGGCGTGTTGTTCTGGACATTTGTTTGTACCATTGGCCTAATCTTGCTGGTAAGCTTAGACGGGAAGAAGTGTAGTACATCATTGTACCTACCAATGTACGTCGTTTTGTGATGTTTATAAAATACGGAAAGAAAAATCTTGCATGATTAACTCGGCACCGGTATATTAAAATGGCCATACTACAGTAAATTCGAACAAGGGAAATTGGGATGAAATAGCGAAGTATAGGATATAAAATAGCGACATACCACACGAAGTCACATCTGCGCAAATTTTATAATCGACATGAAAAAGGGAAGAATACTGAGCAAATTCCGAAAGAGAAATGGCAACTTTCGGAAATGGAACATTATCACACTCAGTGTGATAATGGAACTGTCGCTTATCACACTGAGTGTGATAAGGGACAGGATTAGCCACTCTAAAAGACTTCCAGCTATAAGTGTTCACGACACCTAATAGACGTTTTATGCTATGTTCATCTCTCTCTTTCTTTTCAGATCAACCTGGTAATCTTCGTTCTGGCCTTGCGAAGTGCATTATCGTCCAGCACAGTAAACACAGCTCGCTCACTAAGTCCAACAAAAGACAGTACTGGCACAACTAAGCCAACAGCTGGAACAACATTAAGAAAAGCAAAACTCGGCCTCAAAGGTTCAGCCATACTACTTCCATTGCTTGGTCTGACGTGGGTTTTTGGACTGCTGGTTTTCAATCGAGATACGATTGTGTTTAAATATCTCTTCGCCATTTGTAATTCTCTACAAGGAATGATGATATTTGTTTTTCATGTTCTTATAAATAAAAAGGTACGTTTGGTCTTATGGAAGATCTTGTGGTCACATTATCCTAATAAAGTTTTTTTTTTCAAGTAGTTCAGACACAAACTAAGGCAGCTAAATATAGAATACTGCTTACACTGGACCACTAGGTTTAAGATATATTTTTCAGGTAGTGATCTACAGTGGATTAACAACTGTTACTTATTTCATCTTCTAGATCCATGAAGCAATCAGCAGGGAAAAGAAAGCTCGTGAAGCCAAACACATAACCAAGATTGCGGTTAACAATACATGTAAGTAAGAATACGTACGTTGCCAAACATTATTTGACTGGCTAGTATTTCCATTTTTCTTTGTCCTCAAACCATTTGTTATCCGAAGCTAAGGGGGGGGAGGAGGAATGGGAGTAAAGAGAAATGTCACAAAGTGTCTACCACTGTTTAGGTCGACTCACTTGATTATCCCAAGGACAGTTGACACATCTCGGTATTCTCAGATGAGTGATTTTCTCTGTTCATATAAAGTTTAATTTACCACAAATATACATATGTCTTTGACTTTTTGTAGGTGGTACACTATCAACTAGTGACGGCAACCGCAGAAAATCCAGTATTCCAGTTACACCAACATTCGCAAAGAAAAATTTCAACAAGCCAGAATCTCTTACCGTGATTCAAAACAACACCACAGAGAACAACAATGGTAGCTCAAAGCCAACCAAATTGTATTTAGAACCCGAAAGAAATCAGAGAAACTGCAGATCAAGGGGAATGAAGAACAATTATACCACAAAGAACAACAATAATAGCTTGAAATCCAACAGTAACAAGCCTGCATGCCAGTTCAATGCCGTTATCCTGGAAGATCTTGAACTAGCAAAGCCGAAGTGATGTCAGCTGGCTTCCACCACCAAACGTCAATGGTGCTAACAGCAGGAAACCCCCTGTTAAAAATAATTAAAGTGATTTTAATAGATTAGGTGTTTACATTGTATGTATCATGCACTTTAGCTGTAAGCGGTTAACATTAATTGTGGCCAAGTCATTCATGTAAGGTCATTTCAATGCGTCACACACATAAAAGTTAAGAAATATAGAAGAAGCAAAAATGAGATTGTCTTGATCATGCATTAAAATGGATGACAGTAACATGTGAATAATCCAGAGGAAGGCAAAGGATGAGATGAAGATTATGATGGAGATATTGGACTTCAGTAGAATGATGTGGATTTGACTCAGGAAATTTTTTATTCTTGGATTTTTCTGCCAGGAATAGAAATGTACTTTCTAGGCCTGGCCTGATCTCGAAATAAAAGGATGGAAGAACCTAATATCGAGAGTAACCCTATCAATATCACCTGTAATAATAATAACCCTATCAATATAACCTATATAGACTAGAAGTTACTATCGCAAGGAAAGTGCTGCCTCATCCCCAAGAAATCAAAGGCAGCATGCACAATTCGCTGAATAAGGGGCTGTTTATATGATCCAGCTTTGCCAGGACGAAATATGAGGCGGGACGATTTCGATGTATTGAAATAAGTCATGGTCTACAACTGACAACATTTGAGTTCTGTTAATTTAAATTAACCAGCATTTGAACTTTCATTTAACTTAGTGATGGAAATACATCAAAATCATCCCACTTTCCATCATGTAAACAGCCCCTAAGATGCCTGTTCAGAATGTAGGAAAAGTGCATTTTGAATACCAAAACACCTTGCACAATGTCGAAGGTCAGCTAAATATTCTATAATTCTACTTTCTTTGGCATGGGTGATTTTATATGAATACCTTCAATGCTTTTTTTATGATGAGAATAACTTCCTTATATAGCGAGTCGAAATTATTCAACTTCTCAAACAGAATTATGTACACCACTTTTAGGTGGAAGCTCTGAGCAAACAAATATTTGTGTTGTTTTTGCATGGGTGATTTTATATGAATACCTTCAATGCTTTTTTTATGATGAGAATAACTTCCTTATATAGCGAGTCGAAATTATTCAACTTCTCAAACAGAATTATGTACACCACTTTTAGGTGGAAGCTCTGAGCAAACAAATATTTGTGTTGTTTTTCTTTAGGTGCATACGTACTAGTGCCGGTCACGCTTCTAGAATCGATAATAAAAATAACCTTTCTTTTCGCTGCAAATACCTACTCATAAACGTCATGAATGTCGTTCTGTTACTGGATAATCATTTACAAAAGACGTCTGACTACACGTCTGTGTTTGGATTTCAGCCCTTAAGCCCTTAAAACCTGTCTTATACGCGTGATAGACTTGACAACGTATACGTATAGTTGATTCTTTTCAATTTTTTTTGCAGTTGTTTTTACTTCTTCACAACGTTTTTACATGCAGGCAGTACTTTTAGACTCAATAGCGTTGGCTATTGAAGAAAAACATGGCTAATATTTAAAACCAAATATTGTCAGTGCATCCATTACGTCCGTTGATTTTATTGTTGTTTCTATATACGGCGCAGCTGTCTCAAATTCATGGCAAGTGCTATCGAGGATGAAGTTGCATCCAACTTTCCACACCTGTTCTACAAGAGCAGAGTTTGGAAACATCAGTTCGTTCTGCGTTTCGAGGAAAAGTTCTTGTCTCAAGAGATTCCTTGCAAGGCTCATCGTGACTGATTTACTCATTACAAGAAACTCAAGAAAGATTGCTATATTCCTAACAAACTTGCGACCGTTGGAAGTTTCAGGAACAATATATTCGTAGCAGAGACCACTTTACACGGCAAGAGCTTGTGATATAGCAACTATTGAATTTTAAACTAATACTGTATTCTAACGAATACGTTCTGGCCTGGCAAAAAAGGCTTGAAGAATCAAGAATAAAGAGAAGAGACAAAAACTCTCAATAAATTTAGTTTCCATTCAACCAATCACATCTAACACCATCGTCCATCATCACCAAAAAAATGGCGGCATTAAAATATCTAGTGGTTGTAGTCATAATGACTGTACTACTTCTGGAAGACAACACAATCATACTTCTAGTAAACGCACAGCCACGGCAACAAATGATAACCTCGACGATATCAAATACTCCATCACCAGCTACAACGATATCAAGTACTAGTCTGCGATATACAACGATATCAAATACCGGTGCATCATATACAATTATGCCCCCGACGACATCAAATACAAGCACAAAAGGTACGTACAACCGTGCGACATCATATTGCTGTTCACAAAAAGCAAAGACTGGTAAAATTAAGACGGCTTGTGTATCCGATATGATCCGCGTCGCATAGGTTACACTGAAAAGCGTAGATGCGTTATGTGCATAAAAAAGAAAAAAATAATAGTTAAATTCTGTTTCGTTTTAAAAGATGGAATACATTTATATGTTTGTTTAGATCCGACTACAATTTCTACCACCAAGAAAGGCGCGCTGAGTGAATTGGAGAAAGAGGCAAGAGAAAATATTATTTATGCCTAGTTAAACATCGCGCTTATCTTGTGCCGAACCTCATGCATGTAAATGATCCAAACGGCTTATTGTTTACATTGATTCGCATTAGGTTTAACACCTGAAAAGTTCAACGCTTGAACTCGGTCTTAGTTTTTTTCCCGCTCACTGACCTATCTAAATAATCTTTCCCGGGAGTGGATTGGATTTCATCTTCTAGCAATGTTTAGTTGAACTAAAAACCTAATCCAGTCCGAATTAAACAAAGTGAAGTGGAAATTTACGAGCAACAAAATAATTGTTCCAACTGGCAACGAACAGGTGCTTTCAACAGATGTTAAGTACAATTGTTATATGGCAAGGCGGTCCATTTGTAAAATTACCAAGTAGGTAACCCGTTAAGTTGACCACTCGCGAAGAAAAATTTAAGACTTTCCCAATCAAAAAAGACTATAAACATGTGATCGTGGTACTTTTTTTATATAAAACAACTTACTACTCTACTCTACTTTGTGTTAAAACGTAACAACAGCTATTTAGAACACTTAAAAAGCTCACAAGTTGCCGCCATTGACGGCTTTTTCGGCAAACTGCAGTGAAAAAAATGCGCAGAAAATTGCTCTATTTTCGATTTCCGAACATTGGAAAATTTGTTGTTTATTAATTTAAAATCCTGCGGGAAATTCCAAAATTGATATCAGTTTTATAATTTCATTTTCAGGTCGACGAGCTTCATCGTAAGAACATATCAAACGAATACCGAAAAATAGTTGTGCAAAAAATCATCAACCAATTGTCAAACTTAACAGACCTGGATAAGATGGACGAAAATGGAGTGGAACAGCAAGTTCTTAATCATGCAGTCACAATACTTCAAAAGATCGTTGCTTTAAATATTTCTGATAGCAATCTCAACATACTGGGTCCAGCAAACAACATACTGGACAGTAGAAATACAAAATCGTGGAGAAACATGAAGGTGAGTTAGTGATAGAAATGAATTATTTCTAAAGAAAGAATAAGTCCTTTGTTCGGGCTTTTCTTCTTCTTCGTTTATCCATGCATGATAGGGCGGTCGGCCATGTGGTACGTATCCTCTCTTTTAGTTGTAGGAGAAACATGTCTCTTATCTCTCGATTTCATCCTCTGCTATCCAGTTGTTCGTCGCCTTTCCACTAAGCCTGCTACCTTCAATGAATCTTTTCTTCTCACAATGTACCCATTCCATTCTGGCCTTCTCTTTTTCCTTTTCCTGAACGTCTGTGTGACATTTTAACGTATCTCACGGCTACTTGATGTATCCCTTGCTATTCCTTCTAGGACGATAAACTGATTCGTGATCTAGTCGTTACCTTGGAAAATTATGGATTCCAATATGGAGAACACTTAAAAAATAACACAAATACTTCGACTATATTTCAAAACCATTCAAACGTACAGCTGTACGTTAAATTCATAAAACGAGAAGATAATTTGTCAGAGGCAGAAAGATTGTTCAAGTTTCCAGATGCATCATTCAACCTCTCGCCCGATGCATTACCGCAACGTTCTGGCGCTGTAGTCGTTGTCTTGTGGTATGAAACAATAAATTCCTTTCTAACAACCAGTCTTGACGATGATCATAGTTATGCAAAAATTAACAGCAAGATCATGACTGCAAGTGTTGGACCTGGACCGAAAGACAAGTTTCTACAACCTGTTCGTATCAGCTGGAACATAAAAGAACTGGTAATTCAAGTCTACTTTGTTTTCGACTAAAAGTGAATGAAAATAATTGAATAAAATAGAGCAGAATATAATATCAAGGTAGTACATTAAAGCCAACCACAAAGGAATGCAATAGAAGACATTTGTTAAATACAAATACAACGCCATGTAGTAACTGAAGACAACGCTAAATTTTTTCTTGACCTTTAGAACGACTCTACAACATGTGTTTATTGGAAACCAGAATTAAATGAAAAGTGGAAAACAGATGGATGTAAAAGAGTGAAACACAAGTCAGAGAGTGACAGCTTGATATGTGAATGTGACCATCTTACAGCCTTCGCTGCTATGGATATTTCTAGAGAAATGGTAAGATTTTAGGCTCACAATGTTCGATACTTAAAAATTTCTACCGTGATATTCAAAGAGCTTTAAAACAGTTCTTTTTAACAAAACCCAACGATATCGATTTGAATATCGATTTGAATTTGTATTCCCTCCAATTGCTCTAAATTGACTTGAAAATCTCAATTGGTAGACAGACCACGGTCATATATAAGTATATTTTTTAGATTGAGTGGCTTGTCCAGAAATTTAACAAAGGGTTTATAATGATGTAACATGCATCTAGGTCCAGTCCAGCTTAAGTCGCTTGATAATACGTATTACAGTGTTGGGTTTTTACTGTAAATATATGCTCTATATTCTATATTTACGTCAAGGTAAGTAAAAATGAAAGGCGAGCATTGGAGTTAATATCGACTATAGGGTGTTCTGTGTCGTTGTTTGGGATATTTCTGACCATACTCATACACGTCTTGCTGTGGAGGAGACTTCAACAAAATGTCAAGAGTAAAGTGCCTTCCCACGTTCTCATGCATCTCTGTGTAGCCATTGGAATGACGGATATTCTCTCTATCCTGGCAGGACCTGCACACAATTATGAGGTAGCTAGGCACTGACCTTAAACCTTAACCTGTGATCAGACGCTCCAAAATGAGGTTTCTTTTTCAAAAACGCCTGCATTGACACTATTGACCGCACCTTACTTCTGTAGTCCTATGGAAACTACGGACTTTAGAGAGTGGTACCAAGATTTGGCAATATTGAATGATCAGTTAAATGATTGAATACTAGTATCACAACAAGTAAAAGACAATAAAAACCTGCGCATTTTAGCAGCAAATCTGCATATAGGCAAGGCCCGCTGTAGTCCAAACACTCTGCTAAGGCCAATAATCCTCAGTTTGTCCTCAAAATATGAACAACTGGTACAAAAGAAGAAAACCTAGTTCTATCACAAGTGTTTATACGATTTTTGAGGCATTATTAGCATTAAACATGAAGTCAAAGTATTCTACACCATGGCACAGCATACAAGCCAAGTATTAGCTAAATGATTAAGGAGAATTACCTGGCTAATAACACTATTATTTTATGCTTTCCCTTTCTAGACATTCTGTACAACCGTGTCCATATTATTATATTTCTTTGTTCTTGCGGTGTTTGGATGGATGTTATGTGAAGGAGTCATCATTTATCTTCAACTTGTTAACGTCTATACGGGATTGGGTTTAGGAGGAAAACATCTAAAGGTGTTCTATGTGATTGGCTGGGGTAAGTTGTTTTGGGATAAGTGATAAAGGACTGTGATGCATATCATGATCGCATCTTGCGTTGGCATCAAGAAAAATAATACAGCGAAACAAAAGAAGTGCCGAAATGTTGGGGCATGAATTGTTTTGTTAACAGTACTGTACGAGTGCATTTCCCAAATACACTTTAACAAATGCTGTTATCGCCTGTTCTACTTTAGGTATTCCAGTTGCAGTTGTAGCGGTGTTGGTCGCGCTCAATGATCGAAAAGATTTTATAACCAAGCACGCGTGTTGGTGCCGTGGTGATGGCGTGTTGTTCTGGACATTTGTTGGTACCATTGGCCTAATCTTGCTGGTAAGCTTAGACGGGGAGAAGTGTAGTACATCATAGTACCTACCAATGTACGTTGTTTTGTCAAGTTTATAAAATACGGAAAGAAAAACCATGCATGATTATCTATTCACTGGAATACTAAAGTGACCATATTACGGTGAATTCGCACAAGGGAAATTGAGTTGAAATAGCGAAGTTTTGGGTATAAAAAGCAACATACCATACGAAATCTCATCTGCGCAAATTTTATAATCGACATGAAAAAGGAAACAAGAGCAAAGTTCCGAAAGAGACATGGCAACTTTCGAAAATGGAACATTAATAGTTTTCACTGAGTGTGATAAGGGATATGATTAGCCACTCTAAAAGCCTTTAAAAACCTCCAGCTATAAACGTAACGACACGTAATAGACGCTTTATGCTATGTTTATCTCTCTCTTTCTTTTCAGATCAACCTGGTGATCTTCGTTCTGGCCTTGCGAAGTGCATTATCGTCCAGCACAGTAAACACAGCTCGCTCACTAAGTTCAACAAAAGACAGTACTGGCTCAACTAAAGCAACAGCTGGAACAACATTAAGAAAAGCAAAACTCGGGCTCAAAGGTTCAGCCATACTACTTCCATTACTTGGACTAACGTGGGTTTTTGGACTACTGGTTTTCAATCGAGATACGATTGTGTTTAAATATCTTTTCGCCATATGTAATTCTCTACAAGGAATGATGATATTTGTTTTTCATGTTCTTATAAATAAAAAGGTACGTTTGGTCTTAGGGAAGATGTTGTGGTCACATTCTCCTAATAAAGTTTTTTTCAAGTAGTTCAGACACAAACTAAGGCAGCTAAATGTAGAATACTACTTACACTGGACCACTAGGTTTAAGATATATTTTTCAGGTAGTAATCTACAGTGGATTAACAACTGTTACTTATTTCATCTTCAAGATCCATGAAGCAATCAGCAGGGAAAAGAAAGCTCGTGAAGCCAAGCACATAACAAAGATTGTGGTTAACAATACATGTAAGTAAGAATACGTTGCCAAACATTATTTGGCTTGCTTGCATTTCCATTTTTCTTTGTCCTCAAACCATTTGTTATCCGAAGCTTAAGCGGATGGGGGAGAGGAGTGGGAGTAAAGAGAAAGGTCACAAAGTGTCTAGCACTGTTAAGGTCGACTCACGTGATTATCCCAAGGACAGTTACACATCTCAGTATTCTCAGATGAGTGATTTTCTCTGTTCATATAGAGTTTATCACAAATATATATCTTTGATTTTTTGTAGGTGGTACACTATCAACCAGTGACGGCAACCGCAGAAAATCCAGTATTCCAGTTACACCAACATTCGCAAAGAAAAATTTCAACAAGCCAGAATCTCTTACCGTGATTCAAAACAACACCACAAAGAACAACAATGGTAGCTCAGCCTCAAAGCAAACCAAATTGTATTTAGAACCCGAAAGAAATCAGAGAAACTGCAGATCAAGGGGAATGAAGAACAATTATACCACAAAGAACAACAATAATAGCTTGAAATCCAACAGAAACAAGCCTGCATACCAGTTCAATGCCGTTATCCTGGAAGACCTTGAACTAGCAAAGCCGCAGTGAATGTCAGCTGGCTTCCACACCAAACGTTAAGATGGTGCTAACAGCAGGAAACCCTCTGTTAAAAATAATTTAAAGTAATTTTAATAGATTAGGTGTTTATATTGTGTGTGTCAGAACGATGCCTCATGACATGATGAACATAAAGGTAGATGTGTACCAGATCAGACAAGTCTCACACACAATCTTTTTTCTTTTCATTGAGTAGTCATATTTGTGAATGTTAGGAGTCAAATGTGTCTTTTAAGTTGTACAAAATAATGTAAAAATACAGCGAGAAATAGACCCCTTATCTTGTTTACATTTTGCTAACTTGCAAATTCTGATTATACAAAGGATTTTTATGTGCCATTGTCATTGATATTCAAATATCACAAAAACATAGTCGGTTTGCCTGTCAGAAAACCTAAACAAGACGTTTTCTACGAGCTATCAGTGGCTGTACCTGCGTGCATAGTCATATTTAATAGCAATATCAATATGTAGAATAAAGTAAAACGTTTTATTAAAAATTACGTTCACATCATATAAAAAATTCAAATCGACCGCCATGTTATTTTACCCGAATCCATCACGATGAATAACGAACTAAACGAATGTATCTTGAGCGTTTTCGCTTTTTCGTGCTGACTTTTTGTGTTCTCGCGTTCTGCAGGCTCGCCAACGAGGCTTTAACCTGCATGCCCGCAATTTAAAGTCTAATCTTTGGCCTTCGTGATAAGTGTAAACAAACGTGATCCTTGGAGTTTATAGAAACAAAGCTTAGAATAAATGATTTCGCAGTCATTTGTCAAACATTGTCAAGCTAAGCGCATTGCTTGATCTCTGGTGAGAATAAAGCAAGTCTGGAAAGGCTTTTTACAGGAAAAATGGGGGTTCAATACTTAGAGTTACGCGGTATGATCGATTCAGCCTTGGGACATCCCGAGAAAGGAATTGTCAACTTAAACATACTCCATTCACTTCTACATGAAATACTAAATCATCTGGATAAAAAGACAGCCAAGGAGAACATTGCCAACGAAACTAAGGGTATACAAAAAGAGGAAACGGATTATTTATCAGAAACGAAATTAGACACTAGTCGAATATCCAAACCAGACAGTGAAGCGTCGCACGAAAATTTCGGGGCTACCAACTCCCGCACAAACGTCCAGAGGTAAGACATTCCTCTGTTTAGAAATGAAACATATAGATAACGATGCATGTAGAATACGTTGGGGGTATTTCTAATACTAGGAAGCAAGAATTATAGCCATAAAATAGGCCTAAAGTTACTAGGTTAAATATACATATGGTAATTATTTACTAATTTCTTTTTGTATATGAAGTTTTTTGGGGGGTACGTAGCTAGGAAATGTCTTATATAAAACCCCTTACTGTCTTAACTACATTAAATATTTACGACTTAGCCAGCTGCCTAGACAAAGTGAGTCTTAAAATTTCGTGCCTCAAACGGCTTATTTACGAGTAATTGGGTTTATTAAGCCCGATATTTTTCATTTGAAATGACTCTCTTTATTGACTCGTGGCTTAAGTGTGGATATTTCGGCGTGCTTAAGGATTTGCCGCACAAAAGAAATGAGTCTCTGTAATAAATTTTTAATGATATGTTTTATTAACAACATGTTAACCGATTGTTTTTCATACATGTTTTGATTCTGTAGTGAATTCTGATAAGATATCTATGATTCTGATGCATTATTAAATATTAACTGTTGAGCTGCAATGTGCCCTATCATTCCCAGATAAGTGTCGGGCATTTCAAAATGAGTTTTAAAACCAGACTATCTTTGCAGGTCTTGTGTTAACCCATTAAGGTGTAATGTGCCCTGATGCATCCCAATACCAGAGGATTTTATTTGTCAGGGAAAAGCTAGGGTACAGCATTAACCTACAGTATTTAATGGTACAGCATTAACTCGATCATTCAGCTGCAATGCACCTTAATTTGCCCCTACTTTGTTGTTTAACTTCCTCTAATGCAAGATGTCAATGTCAGACGTTTTGTACATTAATGGTTAAATAGTTTGATTGATAACTATGTATTAAAATTCATTATTAACCAAATGTTTTAATCAGCCATGGCAATGAACACTCAAAACTGAATGAACTCGAACAAAGACTGGCTTCGATGGAAACAAAGTTAGATGCTTTAAACAATCTACCAGCAGATAAGTCATTTCTCACACAAACCACACAATCTGACGATAGCCAAACTGCTCAGACAGATAAAGAAAACACATTATCCATGATGTGGAAATACATGACAATACACAGGAGAGTGCAAGCGACAGAGGAAGCAGTCGAGAAAGTCATGAACATTTTGAATGATGTGATTGAGGATGTTGGACAATTGAAAACGGTCAAGTCACGTCTGGATGAGTTACATAATGAACAATTGAAAATGGCAGGAGAGTTTGATGCTGTGAAAAGTGGTGGAGGGTTAGAACTTAATTCAGAAAAGGTAAGTATATTAGTCTCTCGTCCCATCGAACCGCACTATAATTAGACTGTCTGTATTCTTGTATGAATCTTCATTTCAACTTTTGTGAATTAGAGTAGATTTAGAGTAGATGTACCTCAAATACAGATAGAAATACAATGGAAAATTTGAAAAGGAATGCCACAGTTTTGTACTAGTAGATAGAGTTGATGTTGGAAAACCCCTATACAGTACTATAAAATACTAAATATAGACCATAGTACAGTATACCATACCTCTAACAGCCCAGATGAGTTACATAATGAACAGTTGAAAATGGCAGGAGAATTCACTGGATGGTCTGGTTCAGATGTCTCAGATAGCAATCCAATTCGATTGTGTTCCATGTTCTGCTCAAATACCTTTTGAAGTAGAACCTGACGCACTCAGAGTGCCTTGGGAACATGAATGCAATGTTAGGAACCTTGTTCCTATACAATGAGCGTATTCTGAAAATATTACATAAATACAGTATATTTGACTACCATTTGTATAAGCCGACTCCTTTCTGTTTAAAAGTTTGAATCGTTAGATGGAGTTGCACTTAAGAAAGATCTTGCACCATTTGTGACATGGAGTGCTCTGGAACAAGCTTTAAATAAAAGAGAAATGGAAAACAAAGGTGTCACTAATGAAGCACATCGTATGTCTACTGAAAGACCAGATACAGCACCTTTGCCATCGAGTCCACGCGATGTCACTATCGAGAAAGAACCGCCTAGGACTGCCATGAGTCCAAACGAATTTACAAAGGTAAGGAATTAGTCAAACATTTGAGTATGAGATACATCCCATAGTCCTCTGCTAATCGTATCAGCACCGATCCTGACTGTATAGACCATGTGAAAAAAGACAATCTCTTTCAAAACTGTGTGTTTAATTAATCAACTCTGGTCCGTTGGTGTTGCGATCCTTTCCACGCGCATATAATTCCTTTTCGCATTTTTGTACACCGCTGTGCTATCATTTATTCCTCCCTAAATCGCGTACCATCTGGTGTAGCTGTCACGTATATCTTTGTACAAAACACGCATATGTAGCGCAAACGGACCACTGGACGTCAAGCATTGCATGCACGCATGCCAGTCTTGAAATAGTCAAAAATTCGCCAACCAACCAACGAACATATCCGTCAAACAAACTGATAGCGTACTTACTGTAACGGCCAGAATCGGGATTACATTAATTTACTCAAAACAATTAAGTAACGAAGCACGCCTGGGACCGGTTGTATAAAACTCTTAACGTACTCTTTAACCAAAATTTTGTAGTTAAATAGTAGTTAACGCGAGTTTGATTACTCAACTTTCGCACCAACTAAAGTTAACTTTAACAGCCTCTGATACTGTAAGTGCATGTTGTGAGCGTTGACCTATCACCAATTTGTAATCTTAGCTTACTGGTCAGAACCCAGATGAACTGAACGCGTTCACTGCTCACGAAGACGTAAAAGACTCATTATCCTCTAAAGAAAACAGCTTTGGTGAAATTTCACTGGACCGAGATCTAAATGGTAATGTTTTATCACGAGAAGACACTAAGGAATCGATCACACAACCTTCACCAGAATTTCTTAACCAGTTAAACCGGATTGGCGAGTTGCCAAAACAGTACGATGACGTAGCGGTCCAGGTGAGATTCCTTTTTTAGTAACATGGAAAAATTAGATTTCCTACAGTGACACTGGCTGATATGCTTACTGCTTCTAAGCCAACCATATTCTTGTTTAAACCTAGGTATCGATGATGTCTGAATTACAAACCAAGCTTGCTAGTGAAGTCCATAAAGTTGAAGTGGATATTCTGCCAAGAAAAGTCGATAAAGAAGATCTTCAGTTACCAGAAAATTTAGTGGAACAAATTAACATGTTGAAGCAAGGTTAGTCCAGTATATATAGGTAGTATTTTACGATAAACTTTCGTTGTTTTGGTTGTTAAAAGAGATTAAAAACTAAACGTTTCCAGCGAAAGCCGTTCTTTAGCAATTTAGTAGAACTAACAAACAAAGTGCTCGAAGATTGTTCATGAAAAACATTGCCATTTTTATCCTTTAGGTCTCGATATGTTAAATACAAACCAAGATCTGCAGATGTTGGCAACTATTAAAGACACCTCAGTACAAAATAAAGAAAACATCGACAGTTTAAAAGCAGAACTTGCCATGTTTTCCCAGCATCTGAAGAGACTCGATCAACTCCGAGAAGTGAAGGAACCCGAAAGTAACGTCCCCAGTTATGACCAGGAAGTATTGAACTCGGTGCGGGAGAAGTTGAACAGTGTCGAACAGGAACAAGAGAAGATGGTTTCGAAGAGCAAGGAGGATGTAGATAAAATACTAGAAAATTTGGATGAAAAACAAGTAGGCTTTGCTTCGCTTTTGTGCATGCTTTTTTTTTGTAATGCGGTTTTATATATGTAATTGGTTTCGATCAGCACTCTGAGGCATAGATAAATGATACTCTTAATTGAATGCAGTATAGTCTTGTAGTTGGAGGCAAATGAATATATTTATAATTTTCGAAACTTTCCTGATTCTTTCAGAAAATTATCGACGACTTGTTCCAATACGCTGAACGACTACAAGAGAGAAAAGCCGACCGAGAAAATGTCGCCACGGAGATGGACATCAAGGCTGATAAACATGCTTTGGATGGCAAAGTGAATCAAAGCACTTTCGATGAGACTTTCCAAATGTTTGATAGAGGTACGTTGGGCAATCAGTGGGTATACAGAAAGTATAATGTGGAAATATTATAGAATTGGATTCAAGGGAGGGAGAAAAGCGTGATAATAATAAAGTGGTTGAAAATATTCAATGGTTGGCGATGTACAACTGATTCTAAGGCAGCAGGAAAGTCTGCAGGAATGCTAGTAAAGTTTAGTTCAATTTTACCTGTTTAGGTTTACAAGAGGCGTTGCAGAAAATGGAAGATTATATGAATGAAGAAATGGCGCTCAAAGACACATTGTCTAGGATTTCACGCGAGATGGGAGGGAAGATTGACAACGATTCTCTGCAATTAATGAAAGATTATTTTGGTAAGTGTTTTGACACCGCACCAGAGAGTACTTATACTTAATCTTTTCAATGAAATTCTCACTTCCTCTTTCAGAGAAACAAATCAAAGACGTTCAGGAATCGCGTGACAAAATCGCGCGCGAGACACGCGTGGACGCGACAGATGCCGCCGGAGTCCGACGTAAACTCCCGATACACTATCACTGTATCTCATGTAACCGTCCTGTAGAGTTGCCACTCCGAGACTCAGAACCAGCCCTTCCAGAGAGCGAGAGTTTGCCACTTAGAAGAATGAAAATTCCTTTTACTTCTTACGAAGTAGAACAAGTATGTTCATAACTGAGTTATCATTAAGCTTTTTGGTTTTTCAATTGTGAAATAGTTCTTTTCTAGTATTCGAATAGCTTAAGATAGCGAAAGAATTTCATAATACCAAATCGACTATATATTTATAGCTCTGTAAGTTTTAAATTGTATTCCCTAAACATCCAGTTAGGTCCTTTCCTAATTCCTGCAGTGTTACTACAAGAGGAAACCGATTACTAGGAGAAAACCTGCGAGTTTTGGTATCGTCAAAATCTTCTCACATGCGATTGAGGTGAAGTTATAACCACACAACTACATATTGCAATAATCGATTCCCAGTCATAAAAGTAGACTAACACTTCCTCTTAACTCTAGGCCTTAATTCTCGTTTCAAAAACATTTTTTAGTGTGTAGTACACGAGTTACATATAGTACACACATATTAAGCTGCGCTGTATGATTTCAGCTGCGTCAAAAGTCAATGAAAGGCGGTTACAATGCAGAGGAGAGTGCTACAATACGAGATCTCGTTTCTAACAGGCCATGTGGTGGAAGCCATACTGTTATCAATTCACAGCTCAGAAAGTCCACGAAATTTCATCAGTTCAACCAAAGTACGGCAGGTAAGAAGTGAAAGATTTAGTCCGGGTAGATACATGTAGATCAGAGGAAGAATACTGTACCATTTTGTGTTCATGTTTGTTGTTATTTGATGTTCAGCTCGCTCATTTCAATCTAGTTCGTGATGATGTACGTTTTGTGCCAAAATTGGTACGTGAAGTTTCCGTCCTCGACTTCCTGCGCGGTTCTGATGGACATTACTACAAAGGACGTTCAAGACAACTGTTGCCTGCAATCCCGCGGCGGACCAAGTACCCTAGCAACGCTGACGTCAGCACGGATTCTGGTTCATATAAAGGGAATGGTCCTTTGCAAGAAGACATAACACATACAACCGACCAGCAAAAGGTGCCTAGTATTACCATGGTTTATTTGACCGTTGATTGTACTATTTCTTCACTTTTGTTTCGACTGCTTCCCCGTTTGCTCATCCTATCAAACAAAATTTCGAAGACAGCTTTCGCTTGCCAGGAAGCTAAATGTTTCCTGACAAATTCTGAATTATACTTTGTTCTCCAAGAATGATTATTGAGATGTTTCCTGGCTTGCTCACTTTTGGGAAACGTGTAAAGGAAATTTGTTTCGCGTGATTTCCAACCTTTGAGAAACGTGGCAAGGAAACAATCTTGCCTGGCTTGCTTGCTTGGAAACATGGCTGGGAAACAATGTTTCCTACTTTGCTCACCTTCGGGAAACATGGCTAGGAAAGAATGTTTCCTAGTTTGCCTGCGGTTTTAGCATTTTAGGTTTATGTATTAAGCATGTGTGATTGCAATCTCAAACTGGTCTGTTCTGTTACTCGCTTTCTAGGCTGGATCACATTATCTTGTACGCACACCATCACCCCCCGCGCAGGATAACCTCTCATCTTCGTATCCTGACAGATCTGATCCTAAAGCACCGCATATCCAAGGACAACGTTACAGCTCCGATGATCTCAACATACCTACCAACACTGCACTCAATAGAGAGTCATTGAAGATATTTCGTCGGAAACGAGGCCAAGATAAGGTATTTTTTCTGTGTTGGTGTTGTGTACTCAGATGAATATGATATTTGTGGTGTTACTCTGAGTGTATATCCACACCGGGCGAGCTTGAAAAATATGCCTGGCCACGGTGGGAATCGAACCTACGATCTTTGGAATACCAGCCCAATGCTCTGCTAACTGAGCTACGCGGTCAGGACGGTTCGAGTAAGTGATATTTCGGAACAGAATCTAGTTCCTTCAATACCAATGTAATCTAGTAATATGATTTTTTCTGTGTTGGTGTTGTGTACTCAGGTGAATATGATATTTGTGATTTTACTCTGAGTGTATATCCACACCGGGCGAGCCTGAAAAATATGCCCGGCCACGGTGGGAATCGAACCCCACCGTGGCCGGGCATATTTTTCAGGCTCGCCCGGTGTGGATATACACTCAGAGTAACATCACACATATATTATAAGATAAGGTATGGTACTCCTCTAAGAGCAATCAGGCTCTGTTTCATTCATAATTCTGATATATCCATTCTTTTGTAGGACCCGAAACGACAACAGTGTTGGGATAATCAGTCAACAAATACGAAAGGAGGAACTCAAGATCAACGAAGCGATTCAAACGAGTCGACCAGTCCAAAGGTAGAAATTGCATTCTGGCAGGTTCTCGTTGTTTTACTTCTATTTCGAGTCTGGAGCAAGAATTAAATGCAGAGCACTGTTCGCAAAGTTGAACGGTAGTTCCTCCGACACAATCGCCACGGACGTTTCTCTGTGAGCAAAGTAAAGTGACAGTTCACTGATTATGAATCGTAGTGATCAACTATTGCCTGTATATAATACAGTAGTTTTGTTTGTGGAAACGCCACGTATATGTATTGCTGCCAAGCTTGTTATATATTATTAGTACATATTATTAGCACTGATGAAGATCCGGGCTTACGGATCGAAAGCTTTGCAGTAATAAATTTACGTGGTGTTTCCACAAACAAAACTATTATATGTTATATCGCCATGCAAACGTACAAAGAACTTATTGCCTGTATCTTTCAGAGTATGAAAAGAACAACTCCAGTTGGCGAAGAACAGCCGTACATAACGTCTCCCGAAGGCTCACCTCAGAAACACGATGTACACAACGGTACAGCAGAGGATAAATGTAGGATATCAAGTGGTGGTGATAAGGACTGACATGAACATCTTACTGAACACCTTACTGCGTGGTCTGAGCGCTACATAAAACTGGACTCTGTGTTGACACGTGTTGCTTCGCTACTTTGGGATAGTTCCTCGGGTAGAGGAGAACTGATCACGTGATCGGCTAGTTATGTTGTTTGTGGCGTCAGATATAACCCAATCCCTATCTCTAAGCCTAATCCTTAATCTAACTTTTACCCTAACCCTTATCCTAACCCTAACCCTTACCCTAACCCCAACACTAATCACTATAACTAACTGATGACGTAATCTGTGATGCAAATTCTTCTACCCGAGGAAGTACCCCTACTTTGGTTCAAGACTTAAAATATTGTAAATAAATTTAATCCCACAACAAATTACATTCACGAACCAATGTTTCGACACTCCAATCCAGTCTATTATCTTGAGTGATAAAGACACCAGAACTAGACTGGAGTGTTGATATGTTGGGTCGTGAATGTAATTTGTTCATGGATTACTGATTCATTTACAGTACTTAATTAAACAAGAGTAGCAAGACATGTCTGATGTTATACCAGATTGCTGTGAACGTATAAATTGTAAAACAAACCACAGTTAATAAAATAGGAATTTATAAACTGTTTATTAACTGTTTATTAACAGTTTATAAACTGTGAACAAACTATCATTGCAAATAGACATACGGGCCTGACGCATTCCGGGGGTGGAGGTTGGCAATTAAAAGTTTGCCCGAATAAAATAAGGTTTTCTGAAGTTGGGGGGGGGGGGTGGTCTGTCTCGTACGCCTATGAAATAGAAAATATTTTGTCAGATATAGCCACAACCTTTCGTTAATTTAATTGCATGTCCTAAAGGCCCATTCCCACTCAAGAAAATTTTACGCGGAAAAAAATTGTAAAATGTGATTGGCCGAGACAACTTTTCCGTGGGAAAAAATTTCAACTTTTAACAATGATATTTTCCGAAAATTTTCTGTCCGTGGAAATTTTTCTTGAGTGGAAATGGGCTTTAAAATGCATATCAGTATCCAACTAACAAGTAAATAATAGTGTGTAAATGAAATACTGCTTGCATATTTATTAAATGCATTGTAAATATGAAAGTTTTTGTAAAAAATGTTTCATTGTTCTCGCTATTATTTTCATAAATATTTACCAGAAACCCAGAAACGGGCGGCAAGAATTAGTCGCCTGTTCGCAGGTCGATTTCCATTCCGTTGCTATATGCAACAGTTCTGAAAACAATATGGCGGCCGTATTTGCCAACTTTTCGGCGTAATTCGAACACTTTTGTCCGAAAAAGGCATCTAAAACTAGCACAAAATGCCGATCAATCGTGTGCCAGTTGTCCACAAGTTTGGCATTATTTCCCAAACGCAAAGAGCGGATTTAGAAAAGAGAATCGCCAAAAAAGCGTACCTTGAAACTCGTCGTAAACTCGACGCGCAGCAACCTCCTGAACCAAGGTATTTATATTGTTGTGTGGTTTTATTCCTGTACGATTTTGTGCTTGCCTTTCTGTTTGTTAAGCATTGAGATACAAGTGAGTGTTGTGTGAAATACGAAGATGTTTGCTAGCTATTGCTGTATTAATCTAAAAAACTTGATTCGTACGAGACTATCGAGTCTATAGCGTCTAGCGAGATTAAAAAGTTCGTCTTACCTTAGGCAGCCACTGTAGGCAGCCCACTAATATAATTTCACAATTATAAAATGGCGATTTAATATAAGCTACAGGTGGCGATTTAATATAAGCTACAGTTCGCAATATATTTCGCTAAGTTGTGATTATTTTCGTTAAATGTTATAATTTCACTGCAGTTTTAATTTAAATTCAGTCGTTTAGTGGGTTGCCTATGGTCTTACGACGTTTGTTTTGTATATTTTATATACGCAGTCACTGTTGTTGAATCGTAATTATGCCAGTGAACATATGTTTCTACATTTTCATTAGACCTCTTCCATTTGAAGTCACGGAAGACTTTGTTTACAAGGTTTGTTAGTAGAGTATAAAGCGTTCTCTGATGTCTCCGTTCTCACCACAGCTAGATGAACTCAGGATCGTACTGCACGATTTTGCCTTGCGAAATTAAGCTATATATTGCAAGAAATTTGAGACCAAATGTTTAAAGAACTGAGATATAAAGTGTCCGACACTGTGCATGACCGTAAGTACAAAGAGAAGCCAACGTGTGTACGGGTCTGAACTTGTCAGGTCTGGTTTGAACGACTTTATGACTGTCCACCGGGCCTATCTGTCTGTTTATTTGACTGTCTGTTTGTTTATTTGACTGTCTACTTGTCAGATCTCCGTTTTCAAAAGCCACAACTCCCTTTTCAAATGCTAAAACTCCCTTTTCAAATGCCAGAGATCCTTTTTAAGAAACTAGAACTCCGTTTTCAAATGCCAAAACTCAGTTTTCAAATGCCAAAACTCTGTTCGCAAATGCCAGAACTCCCTTTTCAAATGCCAAAACAGACCTCCGTTTTCAAATGCCAGAGCTCCGTTTTTAACACTGCCAGAACTCCGTTTTCAAAAGCCAGAACTCCGTTTTCGGCTTGATATAATTTTCGACCAATTGGGTTTGAGCAAATTATTAGTGGACACTCAATTTTGACAATATGAAACATAACTCAAAAATATTCCTTCGGTGCCTGGTCCCCTGTCGCAATTTGCAAGCTTCAAGCGAAGCGAGCAAGTTTGGACCACGCAGGGCTAACTGAAAATTTTTTTGGCTACCTGCAAAAAAATATACAGGCATGTTGAACACTGCCGTGCCTATATCTGATGTAAGCTAGTCTGTGCAATGTACGTGCTATTGAGGAACCTTTTCGCTATTATAGTTCAACGACAGTGGTCAAGATGAGAGAAAAAAGCTAGAAGATACAGCTATGAAAATGCTAAAAAGATTGAAGGTATAGTTGATTTTCCAATCCTAGTCGACCATGGTACCAGTTATATACTAGTGCATGCAAGGCTTCTGCAAGAACGTGCATTTGTAGCTACATTGTCACATCATAGCTAAAACGATTAGTTGGATGAACTGATATCATTCAAGAACTTGATCTTACAAGAGTATTATTTCAAAGTACATTTATTTATTTCCTAGAGATTGGCTGGACTAAGGCAAGCTGGTGAAGCTTATCATGTTGACCTTCCGAGAGCCTGGGTTGACTTGGCGTTACTTGCACAATGTCGTAGTTCTAAGTTGGAAGAAGGTTAACTTTGTCTTTCAACTTTGCAATTCAAAGAACAGTTCGTTTGTATTACAATATTATATGTTTATCTTGTGTAACCCATTTTCCAGCGTGTTTAGAGGCTCTTATTGCTTCGCTTGATCAGGCTCTAGTGTGCGAGGAACACGTTTTAAGGTAAAAATATTTCAATGTTGATTAAATCTAAATGTCTTTATTTTACGCATCTGTAATCATGTAATTTCTGGATATGTTTGTCTTTTTAAATAGCTTATTTTACCTTGCTAAAAGTGGCGTACATTGGCTCAAGAAGGATGCTGGTTACCAATTTGTTTTACGAAGTAACGAAATTTTACTGCTTAAGGTACTTTAGGCGCGTTGGTGTGTTTCAAAGCGGATTCAAACTTCGTACATATTTTTTCAAACGTTCATTCTCAATTCTAGATGACTCGTTTGGTGTTTATACGACTTTACTGTCATTATCTCTTAGACCAATTAAAGGTAGTGAAGTCTCGATAATAAATTTGGTAGAATTATTCATGGTAATTCTGTTTGTCGGTCTGCATTACAGTATATGTTTTTACGTTTCGCGTTCATATAGGAATACGAAGATCAACGAACGTCGCTTGGACAATATTTAAAAGGTGATTCATTAAACACGACGTTTATGAAATAAACCACCAGGAAACTCCAGTTTTAAATGATTCCTTTTGTTTTCAGGTTTCTCGGAAAAAGCCAAATCTTTCAACCAGTTTCCGGGAGCGTATTTATCAGTACGACTTATTAGCGAGGCCGTAAGTTAAATTAAGGCTTGCTTAGTACCATTTTCTGTTTAACTTGCCTACGTTTGCTACAGGCTATACAGAATTTTTTATTAATTACACACTAACTTATAAAAATGTTGTACAAACCTCAGATCCCCACAACATTACCCGCCATCTCGATTGATATAGTCCGCCTCTCGATTGATATAGTCCGCCATCTCGATTGATATAGTCCGCCATTAGGTGATTCGACATCTTTTCCATACACAGGGGCGTGTTATTTGTTCATCAGTCACGAGATCTACAAAGGAAGAAAGCGACGAAAATAAATGGATTACAATGAATACATCGACACACGATTCAATGAGTGAGGAAGGCCAAAAGCAAGAAAATATAGTCCAGAAAACACTTCGCGATACAGAAGAGCAAGTGATCAAAGTTGAAGTTCGAGAAGAAGATGAAATAAAGCACGCAGGACTGATTAATGGTCTATCTTTACCAGACAACGTCTCTCCTAGCGCAGAAACAGGCAACTCTATCTTCCTACAATGCAGTCTAAACGTTTGGCATGCGGTGAACCATGATTCCGGTTTACTCAATGATGCTTTATGTGATTTACTTGAAAGTGCGACACATTTATCTGAGGAACAATGGTTAGTACGTTGCGTCTAGTACAGACGCTAGGTTTTAGTAAGCGTTACAAGGCAGAAGATGGTGGTCGAACGTCCAACTGTTCACACTTAACGCCCATTTCCACTCAAGAAAATTTTCCACGGACAGAAAATATTCCGAAAATATCATTGTTAAAAGTTGAAAATTTTCAATTTCAAAATTTTTTTCCGACGGAAAATTTGTGTCGGCCAATCGCGTTTCACAAAATTTTCTTTCCGCGGAAAATTTTCCCGAGTGGAAATGGTCCTTTATAGCAGCGAGCGATTGAGACTGCATTTTGTTTTGTTTTCCCCATCTAGGTTGGAACTGGTCTTGGCTTTTCATATTCTCGCAGATGCAAGCTGTAGCAACGTCCGAGTCCTGGAGGTTTTTCAGTACTTCATGTCGCTCGACTTTTCACCAGTGGTCATACCGGTTGATCGAGTTTCTCACTTGTGCGAAAACTGTTATTCGAGTTTACCAACCAGCCCGTAAGTATAACTTCACGCAAAACATCCATTGTGGTAATTTTTGGACTAACTAATCGCCCCATTTACTTTTCATCCGAATTTCGTGTAAATGGTAAAGATGTGATTTCCCTCTTTCCAGAGATAAAAAGGCGCGCAATTCGACTTCGTTTCGGGATAACGTTTCAAAGAATGAAAGCATAGCTGCCGGAGAGCGAAACACGACGTCGAGTTTAGTGGAAACTTTGCAAGAATTTGTGGGTTTAGATTTAAGCCCAGAACAGGGGACGTTAGAAGACATGCGCAAAACTCAAGATTCCGCAACTCACAGTAGTCAACCTCGAAGATCTGGACAAGGTATTATTGTTATAGAAAAACCAATCACCATTGAGTGTATAGGTCATGAATTATCCACAAAGAAATAAAAATGCAAAGTGGAATTTGTCTCTTTGAAGTGACGACAAACAGCGGGTACTGTTTGTGTATTTCAATCTCTTTTCTTCATTCTTTCTTACTTTATGTAGAAGAAACCATTCCCATTGATTCCTACTCAATGGCTGCTCGGCCACAACGACGTCATCCCAGGAACCGCTGGCCATGGGAATTGGTTTACACATTTTGTGAATGTCTGACAACTGTATGCATGCACGGCGCATGCTCGGACGTGCAGAAACATTCCCTATTGGGCATGAGTGAAAGCACGTTGAAAAAATACAAAAGTGGAATGAAAGCAAAATGCGGTTTGATAGAATTTCTACAATATGGTGAGTCTAAACTCGCATGACTTATGACCTGGGGCCGGTTGTATAAAAAAGTGATTAAAGTTAACTATGATTAAGTGCAAACGTCATCCAATAAGAAGAGCGTATTTGAGAG